TCGACCCAGAGGTATGCTCAAAAATGTATGAGTCTGACTTGATCATATATATATATATATATATATATACCTATCAACAGATAGTGGACGAAGGCAAGGTTACCGGCGTCCAACAATTGCCATATTTCTTGACCTGAAGCCGGTATTCCACTCTGTCGACCGAGAGGTACTACGTCTATGTCTGGTTGTAAAAGCAGTAGCAAGAAGGCGTATAGTGCTAATCAAGGCACTCTGTTAGCACTCACACAGTAATCTAAGAGCTTATAGAGTTATAATCTGAAGTGATGGCCACCAACAATGTCCGCTGAGGAATGTCCACTGCCCCATTTAAAAAAAATTTCATCATTGCACTCACTGGTGAGATTGACCCTGACTTTAGTGACTAGGGGATTGACTTGCTACTACTAAGAAACAGTTTCGTTGACTTTTGAAACAAGTTCTATGTTGAAATCCAGTCAATCAACAAGATAATAATAAGGAGAGATGTTATGAATCTATGGTGAATAATATGCAAGGTGGAGGGTGTTTATGGGTAAGTTTCAACGATGTGGGAAGTTGGCTTTGCGTATCGCAACGGTGCAACTATCTGTGTTGACTTGTACTTGGCACTAAAACTAGGAAATTTGCTGCATACAAAGCTTCATAAATTATTTCCAACATTGACACACAAGTTTCAACCTAAGACCATGCATGCAGATTATCGCTCGTAGTTCAACAGCACAAAAAAAACAACTTAACATCCTTACCAGAGTAACTATACCAACTACTAAACAACATACTTAATTTTGTCAACTTTGCATTGTATCAGTTAATTTATTGTCAACAGACCATTACTTTGTTGTCATTAGATGGTTGGAGGCAAACAGCTGGGAGACTTGATCTAGGCATTGTGCTTGCCGGCAGTTGTCAGCAGGAGCTATGTACATACATATATACGTAATCACGAAAGAAATTATGTTCCTTCCATCACTTTCTATTAAACGAGGTTACTCAGACAGGAGAATTAGTCACAACTACATTCTCGTCAAAGTAATAATAACAGTCAAAGTTTACCAATGATAGAGAAGATTTGTAGCTCAGGTGGATAATTTTGATGTGGTTTTGTTCTCTGAGCTGGATGGTTAGTTTGCGCAAACTAACCATCCAGCTCAGAGAACAAAACCACATCAAAGTTTACCAAAAAATCTTCTGACGAAACCCAAAACGAGGTATATAATAAAAACTGGCAAACGACAGACAAAGCAGTAGTATTTGCAGAATAGATTTACCTTTCAATTTAACTGGAATTCACATAGGTTTTGAAATTAAATAACAAAATAGGTAAATAATGATAATCCGGAAGTTTTAAATCCAAAATTAATTAATATCCATACAAGTGTTAATGGTGAGAACACAACGCGTCCACGTCCTCATAACGACTACATAACTAAACAAATGAAACAAATGAGCTAGGCTAACTAAGCAAAGCTAATGCATACGTTCATGTCAGCCTGCAGACACACACTAGAAGCATAACACATTTACACACACACACAACTGTTTATATTAACAATCAACATGACAACAACGAGCATGCCTGACCAGGGTCAAATTATTTAGCAAACAATCTAACCAATAAGAATTCAAAGGGGTGAGAGAAGAAAATACTTGAATTGTATCACGTGAACAGACACACCAAGGTCGTTCAGGAGCATGTATTCATCCATCCAATGAAAATACGCTAGTTCACACACGTCCACGTAGTATAGAGAAAAAAATGCCGGCAACAAAGACTGGCTTTTGATTGGTTAATTTTCAATCATTACATTATAAGGCTAGTAGTAGTAGTCGTAGTTGTAGTAATGATATGCAGAATGATATTTTCATGGGAGGAGGGCAGAGAAATTATTGATTAGGAGTGGATATTTTTTGACAAGAGAGATTGAGACAGTCAGTATATATATACATATAATTATTTTTCCTTTGGACCTTAGTGTTTCTACAGCATATCTTCAATTCACCCTGTGTACTGTTGGCTCCAATACTGTCCATAAACTTTCATCAACCTTGGACACCCAACTTACTGTCGCAAATTCCCGTTGCGATCCATCTCTATTTCCTTCGGAATAATTATTGAGTGAAAAGTTTTTAGTTTGTTCTCTGCGTACCAGAGTTATTTGTTGTCAATCTTTTCCGTTCGTCATAGAACTGTATCGAAGACAACTGTCTTCTGAAAATCTGCAACAAGTCTGTCACCCAATCGATAACATGAAGCTCAAGAGATTACTTTTTTTCTTAGGCATTTAAATTCAAGGAGATAGATAACTCATACGAGAGGAGTGGATTTCTGTCGAACAATTTTTCTACAATGTTGTTGTGCAGTTGGTGATTGCCAGTTATGGTCACAACTATCCTCCTTCCCTAAAACGGGCGGCATATCACCTACTAAGATGGTTATTTAGACGCCTATTTGTGAATTGACTACATTCACCAATGAAATATACGTGACAAGGCGTTAATCAGCCGCACTAACCAATATTGATACTATAGAGCTTCGAAAGCAGTATAGATGCAGAAGATTTTCTGGGTTCCGAATCATCACATACTCCTTTCGTTGAAGCAATCAATTATTAACCATACTAATATAATTCCGCTATGCTTTTGATGCCAACATGACCAACTTTGATGTGATAATTCTTTCTGTCAGATCGAGATAATTCATGGAAAGCATGACTACTCCTTTTTCGAAGGTAATATGTCCCTTCTGTACTCCACAAATATATTGCAACATCGGATCCTGACGCAAAACCCATATGACCACACTTTCGACGCAACGTTGAGGACAATGAAACAACTGTTTGGGGATCCCATTCACTGTCTGACCAAGCTAACCATGGACAAGAATGCTGATTTCTTCATGTATGTTTGCATCATTGATCGTGAGCATGAACGCTGTAAGTTGAAATCATCTATATCAAGTACGATCAGTTCAAAGCAGTCATTATTCTCATTTGCAGTTTACAATCCCCTGATTTCGCCGACAGTTAGAATGAGGGGCTGCGTTCAACCTCTCAATTTGTTTATTTCATTTATTATTATTACTATTATTATCTAGAGACATTTTAAGGACTAAGTTGGCTATAGGACAACTGAAGCCATTATCTAGATAGACAAACAGCAACTATACTATCATCGTGGTGTAATCGAACTTTTGTTTCCTACTTAGCTTAATCACGAGCTGTTATGAAAGTTAGAGAACCATAGCAAACCAGGGAGTACAGGATAACTGTTTCACCCTAGCTCAGTACTCAAAGACCATTCATCATCAGCCACTGGGAACCGATCCAATAACCACAAACCCAAGGAATTTCAAATCCTATCAATTCCTAATTTCAGTGAGACCATCACCATCAGCAGAGATTACTTCATTCACTCACTTATCTATGGCTCTAAAACATGGCCAATACGCGTTGAAGACATGAAAAGGTTGACTGCTTTCGATCATAGATGTCTGCGATCTCTGTCTCACGTTAGGTGGTTTCACAAGATAAGTAATGTTGACGTTAGGCGTAGAGTGTTGGGCAAACAGGGAAAATCAATCGACGAGGCTATAAAGTTACATAGATTGAGATGGCTAGGTCACGTGCTGCGCATGCCTAACCACCGCCTCCCCCGACGGGCATTGCTAGCTAGCTGATATAGGTGCAGGTTGGAAAAGAGCCAGTGGTGGCCAAACAAAAACATGGCATCAATCCATGAAATCCTTGACAGTTAAACTGAGTCAGGTAGGGAGATGCAGACTCCCGGGTTGGGGCCCTCGGGACTCTAGGAATCAATGGCTGGAGACAATAGGTGACATGGCTCAAAATCGTTGTCAATGACAGCGCCGATGTATTCAGTCTCTGTAATCTTTCATATTCCTTTCTACAATTACCCATTCTGCTTCACTCTTATATTTGTCAAACTCTATTGATTCTCTTCACTCATCTTCTTGTCTACCTTGTGTGCCAATTGGAACGTGGTAACTCGAACTGCTGCACTTCGGTGCCAAGTTCTATGTTGAATCCAGACAGACTCACTTATCTAGGGAGCATTGTCTCAAATACAAGAAGTCGGAACGGACGAGAATGTCAATCGAGCGAGAAACACATTCATCAACCAACTGAAACCAATCTGGAAATCTTCGTCACTCAGCCAGCATCAACAACAAAATTCAGTCGGATTTTCAATACAAACAAAAGTCAAGTCAGTCACTTCTTCTATACGGATCAGAAACTTGGCGGGCGGGTCAAAAAGAACAGGTATTTCCAACAGCCTGTTGCAGACCTTCATCAACAACTGTCTTCGCTGGCTCTATACTGAAGATCAGATCAGATGGCCGGGCCGGAAAGAATCACCACCAACAAGAGACTATGGGAACAAACAAACAAACAAAACAGGAACCAATCGCCAACCAACAAATATGCAGGAGAAAGTCGAGATGGATTGGACACTCGCTCGCTGAGGAGGCCGCTGGGTGACGTCGCGCGAGCGTCAGGCCATTGTTCGAGTAGAACCCGGCCGAAAGAGAAGCGGCGAGTGAGACGTCAGTGCAAGGGTGACATGGTGGACATCGTGTGAAGAGGAGTTGAAACAGTATGGACTAACTATTATGGATGCAGGTGAAAAGTAGAGCAGAAGACAGAGGTGGCAAGTGGAGACGTGCAGTTGAAGCCCTATGTTCCACTAGGAACCCAAGGGAACAATAATAATAATAATCACCATCAGCCGTCAACATCATCAACGAGTATTTGGGCATCAGGGGGCCACAGTGCTGTGGTACGACTTCTCACTGGAACACCAGGCAACTTCATCCTGTAGCCAGTAGTCACTAACGAGCAGCAGATTGGTTTTCACAAGTTAGTTACGTCATAAATCCGACCAACCGTTATTTATTTATTTGATTACGTTAAGGATTATTCCTACCCGATTAATTGCTTTCTGCATTACGTAATTTATCACCTCATGACTGTGTTATTATTCAAAAGTTACATTAATAACAGTAGCAATAGCAGCTGCTGCACTCAGTATAAAAATAGTGAAATTTGAATTTTCAACACCAATGTTGAATTCGTCAGTTCATTATTATGAATCAGAATCTTGGAGCACACGTCAGGCAAAGCATTTCCTACAGGCTGCTATACTACTGCAGATCTTCGTCAAAAGTTGACTTTCATAACTCCACACTACTGAAGAACAGAGTTGTCCATCAGATAGGAGAATCAGCAACAAGAAATCCTAGTGGTAGGCAGCGACCTGCGAACCAGCCAACAATCAATCACCAACCAACACATATGTCGAAAGAAATGAAGATGGATCGAACACACACGCTGAGGCCGTTGAGCGGCGGTGTCTCGCTCCTGGTGGTCGAGTGGAATTCCGAATGAGAAGGAATGAGTTAGGCACTCGAAAAGACGTGAAGGAGATTGTGTGGGGAGGAGACTAGAGGTTATACTACTTAATCATGGGGCTAGCTAAAGACAATCGCAGAAAATAGGATGAAACGGAGACGTGCTGTTGAAGCTGTATGTTTCACTCGGAACCAAATAACCTTCAGACACAAGAGAAAAAAGATCGAGAGAGTTTCCGTCGAATAAAAAAGCAATCCTAAAGAAATATAAAGTAACCTAAACAAGTTTTATGAGACAGAAGGCGATTGCGCTTACTTAAGGAATTTTTTTACTCCACGTTCCCCAGTGGAACATAGGGCTTCAAGCTAGTGGCTTGAAGTTTCTGTATCAGTGTTTATTTTACAGGATGGAGTTACTAGCCTCATGCCCAACCTTTCCTCTTTACCAGCATTATTTCTGGCTTAGCGAGTTAAAGGAGTGCCTGATCGGCAGAGAATCGAACCTCAGACTATGTGCATGGTCAGTGAGAGCGTCCTTACCGGCATGCCACCGACGCACAAAGCAGAGTGCGTCGGCCAGGAATCGAACCCAGCCCACCCGCGTGGCAAGGGAGCATTCTACCATTGAACCATCACTTCATGAATACAGCTACAATACATACATACACGCATAGTTGAATAACCTGACAGTGTGGATCGCAATCGAACGGTAGATATTTGAAAATTAGGCAACACATTAGATGTACCTAATAGGCGATGAGATCAATAAGAATACAGCTCAGCAAATAGGTGACATTCTTATTTTTTGAAGTAACACCATGATCAGTATTCATCGTCTAGTGTCTTGAGTCCAAAAACTGGAGGGATGTAGTTTTCCACTTATTTTACTTCTTGTAAAATCAACTCTCTCTCTCTCTCTCTCTCTCTCTCTCTATATATATATATATATATATATATATATATATATATATATATAATGAACACAGTTCATCTTTGGGGCGGCTGGGTTTATCCTGAGAAAAGTTAGTATACAAAGTTAGACAACTATAAAAGAAAGCCTACACACAAATAAAATGATAATATTGACTGACTGAATGGTTTCAATATAGAAATTTCCACAAATGTCTAGCAGTTCCAGTTCCCACTCTCTCTCTCTCTCCATGTACCGTATACAAAGCAAAAGAGAAGACAGTAAAAAGAGATTCAACAACAACAAAAAAAAGAAATAATTAACACAAGTTTGAGTGAAGCAAAAGAAATAGTAGTATGGAGGAACACTAGAGTTTTATTGGGTATGACAAATCACAATGAGTGAATGCATCTTCGCCAGCCAGCCAGCCATTTATATCCCGTGTGAAGTGGTATAATAGGAGTGAGCAATATTGAGGTTAGGCGTCGGTCGAGTGCTAGGTAGGTTGGAGGGGAAATCAATCGATGAGGCTGTGAAATTACATCAACTGAGATGGTTAGGACATGTATTACGCATGCTAGCCTAGTCATCGACTTCCTCGACAACAGGGGATGTTAGCTGACATAGGGTTAGGTTGGAAAAGAGCTAGCTAGTGGTGGTCAGACCAAAACATGGCTTCACCAGTCAATGAAATCTACAAGAGTTAGTTTAAGCCAGTTACGCAGGAAGGTGTAGACTTCCTGACTGGTTGTGGTCCTCGCGACGGTAAAAACCAATGAAGGCTGAAGACAATCGGTGATATGGCTCAAACTCATCGTTCTCAATGGCTATCTAGATTCATCCACTCCTTGTGACTTATAATTTCCAATGAAACTATTTTGTTCTTCGTTATTACTACTCCTTTGTCTTACACCTCTGTTTACTGTTTCTATTATGCATTTCTTCTACTTTCTTCTGTTGGTTTGTGTGCTACATGAAGCGTGGCGACTTGAACTGGTGCACATCGGTGCAAAGTCCTATGTCGAAAACAGACAGACAGCCATTGACAATGAGGATCTTGAGCCGTATCACCACCCATATCTCCACCCATCATTGGTTTTTACCATTCCGAGGACCCCAATCAATCAGGCAGTGTACGCCTCCTACGTTGCAGTTAGCTGGCTTAAACTAACTGTTGTAGATTTCATTGACCAATGAAGCCATTTTTCAAACCTCACCGACGATCATATTGTCAGCTAAGATTACCCGTCGGTCGAGAAAGGCGATGACTAGACAGGCTAGCATGCATAACACATGTCCTAACCATTTTAATCGATGCAGCTGCTTCACAACTTCGCCGATTGATTTTCCCTCGTTAAGCCTAGCACTCGATCGATGCCTCATCGACTCAATATTTCTCAACTCCCTATTATATTACTTAATATGATAATATTAGAAAATAATAAATATTAAAAACTGCAGACCTGCAAGGTGAAATAATTATTGAATTAATTAATTAATCGATAGTGACACCCACACACACACACACGCACATACCTGAGTGCTGCTTGAGCCGATTGAATAATATGCGTTAATAAACTAAGTGATGGTTTACGAAGTTCAACTGGTAGAGCTAATCTATTCCGTGGTATATAAGTAGAATTGCCAGATATATGAAGTGAATACTGTGCACGTAGATATTCAACAACACCATGAACAAATGGATCCTGGAATGAACCACAGAAAGAAAGAAAGAAAATCATTAGACGATATTAGAACTATTACTGATAATAATAAGAACTTGAGAGTTAATTAGATAAGTAAAGCCGTTGTTGCTAACAGACGAAATACCTGTCCCCCACCACCCACCATCAATAACATATTCTAAATTGATCCTAGATGTTTTTGAGGTGATTGACAGCAAAACCATGATGGAACTACTAGGCGTTTCGTGTTTGTTGGCACCTGTCACAGCAAGGTCGTATATATCTGCAATCTTGGAGGAACACACGTTCCTTCTGTAATCCGAACCAGTAACAACCGGTAGTTAAAGTCAGATACGAGGAAGGCTGAAAACGAAACAGTAAACTCCTTCAAAATCAATTAGAGAACGATTGACTGAAAATCATACAGTGCTAGACAATCATAGCGGGCTCCCAAAACTACAGCAGTACTCACCCAAGATATTTACCAAGCACCATACACTCAGGAACTTTAAGGTAACAAGGTGATTACACCCTGTAACTAATGTATGTCAGTGTGTGTGTGATGTTTCCTTCCAAACAAACTCCTGTGGATGAGAGAACAAGTATGATAATAGGATGGGAGGAACAAAGACAATATGATAGATAGATAGATAGATAAATAAATAGATCAGCCATTAATTTTTCTTCTAACCCAAGGCAAGGGGTTAAAGCAAATAATTGTATAGGCATACAACTTTTAAACTCAGATGAAAAAACGGCCACAAATACACATACAAACAACTCGAATGTCTAGACAGCGACACACGGCACATTAGGTCAAATCATGCAGATGACTAAGAGAATAAACGAATGAGTGGGTGAATTAATCAATATGAGGCCTTAGCTACGGCTACGGTGTAGTAGAAACGTTTTAAATGTTTGAAAAAAATAATAACCAGAAGAACACAGAAAAGAAAACAATAGCAACAACGACGAAAACAACAACAACAACGGCGACACCGTTTTTTCTTTATTTTCAGCTTATCGGATTAATCTGATCAATACAATAACGCACAACTAACAAACAATATTCATTTCGTTTAATTCAATTTGGACGACTGCTTCGCTGACTGATTGATTGGACCGAAGTGCAAGGGGCTCAGGTTGACGACATGTCAGCAGCTCCATGTGGCGGATGCATGGGATGCATGATGTCTGATATATTTAATCTTTGGAGTAAATTGGTGAATTGTGACTACCAGTGGATACAATTCAGGATGTGCATCTCGTCTCACTAGTTGGATGTGACTCATTCGTCACCCACAGGTGATCTAGGTGGATACCACTTTGGCGTTTGAAACTATACGGCTACTGGGTTCAAGCCTCACTCAGTGAGGAGGACACGATGATCACTTCCTGACTGAGTAAAATGCAGTTATATATCCAACTGACGGACAAGTCACAAATGGCGGGACAAAATGTGCGTTAACCTAAATTCCCTGTGTTGCTAGTCATCATCCAGAAATATTTACTTTGTTGTGGTTTTGTTCTCTGAGCTGGATAGTTAGTTTGCGAAGCTTTCATCACCTTACTGGGTGACATCTTCAGCGCATACTTCAAATTGAAGTGAGCTTTTAGGTTTCTCCACGAGTTTATTAATCATTCCTCCTGGTGACCTTGGACGTGATTGGTTGTTTATGTATGTTTTCACACCATCTAGGTTACTTGTATTGGAACTGATTGTTTCTGTGACTTGAACTTTGGCCAATCGTGTAGATGTACTGCTGAAGCTTAGTGCCCAGCTCGGAGCCAAACGGAATAACAAATAAATACTATCATATTTATCATAAGAAAGAGAGGGAACATTGACACCTAGGATCAGAGAGGGTCACAGTCAGCCTCATCATGTCATCCACTTTCAAAGGACATAATCTCACAGTTATATAGTAAGTAGGACATGAATGGAAGCTGTTTACAACCAGAATTCTATACTGCTAAGGTGGAAAAAATCGAGTAATTGAAGAAATCTTAACAAAAAAATTCAATATACTTACCGCTGTTATCTTATCCCGAAAATGTTCAGTAAACCATTGTGAAAGAACTGATTTGATAGCAGTCTGAATATACGCCAAGGAGACATTCCCTTCAGTCCCTGCTGCAGTACGTGTAGATGATGATACAGCCGCCACAGCATTTGCCATACACACAACTAGAACCAGTGTCATATCGATTGCATGACTAGGCGGTAACATTAAATGAATAGGTAAACCAGGCAGTTGGTGTTGTTGCTGTTGTTGTTGTTGTACAGAAGCGGCGTTATTACTGCTACTTGATGGTGTAACTCTTTGATGTAAGAGATTTGAAATAGTATTCGAGGAATTCTCTGTTGTACCGAGTAACAGCGGGAGGATAGTACATCCACCAGGAAGAACAGTATTATTATTATTACTAGGAGTAGTGGTATTGATATTATGATCATCTGAGATGCTTGCGAGTAATTCTACAAAACGTGTAAAATTCACTGCTGTATTTTTATGAGACTGGCCACTGAAACTACTATGAGGGAATTGCAGAGGCGTTAATGTACTCGGTTCACTAGATGCACCGATAGAAGAAAATGACTGAGCTGTATATTCAACGCATGAAGCAATCAATAAATGACGTTGATATTGTAATTCTGTACTTGTTAGACGAATAGACTAAAGACACAAAATATAAACAAAGAAAACACGCATATGAAATTATTTTTCAAGCATATACTTAGTAGTTTCAGAAAATAATCAATAAACATAAACAATCGATCACTGGAAAAATCGATAAAATCACAACTAGTTTCACATTAACTTTTAAAACAATGGATTGGTATTCATTCATCAGTCTACAAACACTTTCATATAATGCAACGGGGTAGAGCTATTTCAACACTATTTGACGCAAGACACAGCGGACAAAAAGGTATAAAATTTAAGTGTTGGTTTCCAGGGATTGGACTGGTTACAGGATTTCATCATGAGCTGATATCGGCTATAGAGAGCCAGTGGAAAGAAAACCTGAGAGTGCTGCCAGACAAGTGTTTCATCCTGGTTTGGGACTCTTCATCAGCACACACCCACTTACCTGGGTTCAAATCCAGGGCCTTCCAGCTAGAAGGCGAACTCGTAAATGATTAAGCCAGTGGGATTCCACCCAAAGGCTCTGGGTTCTAGTGAAAATTCATGAACAGTATGATATAACAGGTCGCTACCGATGGCATTTGGCTAGTGGTTGCGCTATATCGTGCATTGCATTGACAGAACGTGGAATTCATGGACTGGCCATTGGATAGGATATCAAAGTGGCTTTATGGTCAGTTGATATTTTCAGTCTAGGAAGGCGGTGGCACGACATATGCAATACAATATTTCATCTGCACAACCTCATCGATTTACTTCCCCTCCCTCTTAGCCTCAATATAAACTCACTTTACTATACTAACATGTAATAATGGAGATAAAACGCAGACACATGCATGATCAAAGATAGACAGATAGATAACCTTTTCATCTCTTCCACTTTCAATGGACATGTCTCACAGCCATAAAGGTGGACGGGGCGAACTGGTGGGCACTACACACACGTCCTTTGATTGATAACTCAGTCGGATATCATATTTACGCCAGAGATAACATCGACTGGAAAATACTGTACGAAACTTTTGTATTCTCATTTTGATATTTCGTCAGTGAATTCCATACCAAACATTTCTGTTCATGTTCAGAAGACTCTGGCATTGTATAGGCATCTCCTGAATATTCTAAGTCAACAAAAAGTCAATCTCTAATTCATCTAAGTTAATTTGAGTCAATTTCATTCGTACGCCTATAATGCAACTAAACTGAAATAGGGAAAGTGAACATCCCCATAACAAACACCATTGGTTCTTACTATTGCAAATGACAACTCCCATGTGGTATGGTGTAACTGTGAAGGGTGTTGTGTGCCATACATTTCTGTTTATCATAATTTCCTGCTGTGTGTGCTTTTATGAAATGTGACAGACACTCAGCATGGACTGTTGCCAATTTTCGAAAAATCCTTAAACTGAAAAGTATGTTTATTGTTGAAGTATACTGATGGGCGATTAGACGACATATCCCATTTGTTTTATGGTGGTGCCACCCGCTTTACCCGGTGGTTATCGGGGGTGTGCTGAAATATACGCCAGAGAAAAATTTCATTTCAGAAGGACATAAAACATATATCTTATAATCAAATCACACACCGTAACAACGAACTCCGACGCTACAGTTTAACGGGGATATGCAATGTAAAGCCACTCTATTATACCAATTGTCACAAATTAATTCATACAGGAACTTAGGGGTTCAACCAAGCGTCTCCATTGCGTTCGGTCCTCTGCCAACGTTTTCAACCCACTCCAAGTCTCCCCACATGCTTTCATCTCCTCTTCACATGACCTCCTCCAAGTCACCCTCACACTGACGACCAACTCGCCGCTTCCTTTTCGGGTTCCACTCGAGCGATGGCTTGTCTAGTGATGTCACTTGATGGTTGGTTTCTCCAGAGTATGGCCAGCCAATCTATCTCCATTTCTTCCTGCCTATTTGTTTCGCGATCGGTTCCTGGTGGGCTGATTCGCTCCCAGAGATCCCTGTTGCTGATCTTTTCTCAAAGGCCATCTGATCTTGAGTAGTATTAGGCGAAGATAACTGTTAATGAAAGTCTGAAGTTTGTTTGAGATGCTCTTTATGACGCACAGTGCAAGTCTCTGATCCTTATAGTGAGTAGCACTGACTGACTTCACATTGGAGTTGAAAATCCAGATCTTATTTTTCATGTTGAGTGCTGTTGATCTCCACACAGACTTAAGAGTAATAAAAGCTTGTCTTGCTTTCCCGATTCTCGCTGCTTTGATATCCTCGTCAGTTCCGTTGGCCTGTAGTTGAAACGATGCTTCACAGGTAGGTAGTTAGGTAAAGGAGGTTGTTTCTTTCAGGTTCCTCCCATTTATGCAGGCTGATCGTTGTTGTTGTTGGCCAGGAATCTTCATCGCCTACCTCTGTTTTCTCTATGTTCACCTGAAGTCCTATCTTCTCTGGATGCTTCTTCTGCCAACTTGTTGCTTTTCACTTGCAGTTTGTGGGAAATCAGACATATATCATCGTCGAATTCTTTATTTTTTATTTATTTTATTTTTGATTACAGCTTGATTCCACAATGTATTTTTGGTACAAGTATGGAATTTTCAGCATGGATATCGGTAGCCCAAATTTTGCAGGCCGACCATAGATATCAGGTGTGCGTCGGCGAGGGCTCGAACCCCGGACCATGTGCATGGTCGGCGAGAGTCCTAACCACTGTGCCACCGACGCACAAGTGTTTTGTGTGAGTCCATTTTATGCCTGCTTCCTCATTTCCCGTTGTTTGTCTCATTATTCAATCTACTGCAGTCAGGAAGATCACTGGCGATAGTATCAGCAAGTTTGTCTCACTCCCGTCTTCATTTCAAAGGCTTCCGTAAGTTTTCCGTTGTGGATTACTTAGCATGCAGCATTGTCGTATAACTGTTGGATGCAATGTATAATTGTCGATGGGACCCCTTGGTAGTAGCGAAGTAGTTGCCAAATCACCTCTCGATTGACGCTGTCTGCTGAAGGCCTTTTCAAAGTCGATGAAGTTGAGATAGAGAGGTCACCGACTGCCATTCCATAGATACAATATTCTACTTATTTACTTGGTACCTTTGTCTGCAAATCTATACTGTTCGATAGAGAGTTATGACGTTTAACATTAAGGTTAGAGTTAGGAGTAGGCCAGAGAATAGTGTGTCAGAAATATCAATGAATCCCAAAGTACTCTGTGACACCTACAATCACCTACCTACCTGGATGAATGGATATACCGCACATAGCAACATTTCTCTATAGATCATCCGTATTATTGACGAATAGAAGACAATTTTACAACACATAAGCTACAAATATACACTGTTGTATGTAATATCACGTTTGCAATATTTTTTCCTTCAACCATTATGCGACTTTTTTTACCATCTGAAATTTGATTGGTTGCTCAAGGTCACCGTGGCGATCTTTGGCTATGATATTCATTATACTAGAGGTTTTCGTATTTTCCAATGAATGAATGAATGAATGAAAAGCAAAACGATATTGTTTCATTTTACTGACGTTTGGCTATTTAATAATCCTGCTGCTAATAGCTTTATCAATAGCTTTATTATTAAACCGGAATTTACAAAATCTCAGTTTGTATATATAACAAAGTTAAGGGGTGAGAAAATAGACTATTTAGGTCAAGTTAAAAGGACATATTGAAAGTCAAAATAGCAATGAAGATCGCTCAAACCAAATATCAAAGGTAATCGTAGATCTGTTATGATATCAAAATAAAGATTCTCTATCTAATTGTGTCTATAAAATAAAATGCTTGCTTGGAATGTGATACGATCTACATCGGACAAACATCACCAGAGAGAAATCAAAATCAGAAGGAATGAACACCGTAGAGCATCTCTTCTACCACCGAGGAATCCAGTTAAACTAGAAAAACTTGAAAAATCATCAGCCATAGGTGGTCGTTTACACGCTATAGAATCAGGCCACAAAATTGATTTTGACAATATTGAAATCATCATCCAGAAAACTTCAGAAATCACAAAGAACGTCTAATATCAGAAGCACTTCACATCAAGTGGAATGAAAATTGCCTCAGTAGGAATGATGGACTAAAAGAGAATCTGACCTGGTTACAACACTCCACTCCCCCATGAAGTGACAAAATCAACACGAATGTGATAAGCAAGTTCACTACTTTTATAATTTTACACACTGATCAAATCCAACAATCTGCACTTGATTTTGTTATCTCTACCAGCCGACCAACTTGACAAAGAAAAATGACCCCAGACAGACGAACGATGATCAAGTTAGTAAACTTTATTTTGATATCATAACAGATCTACGATTACCTTTGATATTTGGTTTGAGCGATCTTCATTGCTATTTTGACTTTCAATATGTCCTTTTAACTTGACCTAAATAGTCTATTTTCTCACCCCTTAACTTTGTTATATATACAAACTGAGATTTTGTAAATTCCGGTTTAATAATAAAGCTATTGATAAAGCTATTAGCAGCAGGATTATTAAATAGCCAAACGTCAGTAAAATGAAACAATATCGTTTTGCTTTTCATTCATTCATTCATTCATTCATTGGAAAATACAAAAATAGCCTTTATCATAATGAATATCATATAGCCAGTGCCCAAATTTTTTCAAGCTGTTAAAAGTCAACTTGGTTTGTATATATATATATAATTTGGCTATGAGATAGTTTAAAAATGTTGTGCATCAATATTCTCTCATCTTGACTAACCTAATTAATTATAGGCAAAACAATGGCACACATGATCTCCACAGTTAAGAATGTTGCCACAATTCCAACTGGTTGGTATTTTTCTTTTGTGCGCTTTGTAATAAACACACACTTATGTTTTTTCTCCTTGCCTAATTATATCGTGACACACACACCACACACACACTCACTTGAAAGGTAAGATGGCAAGGTCATTATTATTATTAAAAATGATAAGGCGCATGTCTGATTCACTACTGCTATTCATCAAGGTTATTTTATCATTTTGTGTGACATATTGTCTAGTTGAGAGTCCTATTCACCTATGTTGTATTGGTGTAAAAAGAAAATGGAGGTGAGGTGGTGCATGGGAAGGATAGAGACAGAGCAGAGAGAGAGAGAGGCTCCGGATGATGGTGAATGTTGCATTTTCATATGCATGTATGTATGTATGTATGTATGTATGTATGTATGTATCGGTGTGTGTATGAACTTAAGTAAGTGGATTATTCCTAAGAGGTGAGAGACATATAATTTATTCCTACAGTCTGATTGAATGTAATTTAATTAACCAGTCTCTCTATTATTATTTTTTTCTATAGTTGGGTTTGTAAGGGTTAGTTATATTCTTTTACGAGCTCATCACGGATTGATATCAGTTAGAGAATCATTGAAAAACCCGCCACGGAGTACTGTACAGTTGTTTCATCCCAGTTTTTGGTAATCATCGGCAGTACGCACCCATACCATACACCACAGGGGTTCGAATCCAGGACCTTTTACAAGGCAAGCTGGCTCGTATACCATTCAGCCACTGGGACCCGATTCAATGGCTCATGAATTCTAAATCACGAATTGGTAGAAGTTAGAATTCATGGGCTGTCCATTGAATTGGGTCCCAGTGGCTGAATAGTATATGCGAGCTTGCCTTGTAACCAGAAGGTCCCGCGTTCGAACCCCACTCCGTGGGTGCGTACTGATGAAGATTCCCAAACTAGACTGAGGAAACAGCTGTCCAGTACTCCCAACTGGTTTTTTCAGCGGTTCTCTAAATGATATCAACCCGTGATCAACTCGTAAAAACAAAGTCTTTATTCAGAAGAATATGATTAAATAGGGTAATAAAGTTTTCAATAGATTTACTATTATAACCAATAATGAGAGTATCATCTACGTAACGTTTATACAGCATAAATTCTCCAAGCATACCTTGCATTTGTTTCTCTAATTTCCACATAAATATATCTGCTAACAGGGGCCCCAGAGGGCTCCCCATCGCAACACCATCGATTTGTTTGTATGCCTTTTATCTTGGAATGTGAATCTAACATTTTCTGTACACATTAGGATGATGTATTTGATGTAAGTTACAGGAATAGGTAAGTTTATGCCGTTGCTTGTGATATAATCGCAAATGAAATCAACAGTTTCATGAAGGGGAACATAGGTGAATAAAGATTCTATGTCAATTTAATTTAGACTTTTCCGCTGACTGGTAGTTTGGATCGAAGTACCCGGTCTCAGGTTGACAACATGTCGGCTCCTTGTGCAGATTCTTTGATGGACGATGTCTGATTATTTAACCTTGGAGTAGACTGGTAACTGGTGATGCGGATAAAGGCCGAGCACTACAAGATCCAGTCAATCAATTAACGGAAAAGTTCAAATTGAATTCGATAATTACTGAAAGATGTGACTCTCTTGTGGCCCACAAGTGATCTAGGGGATACCACTTTGGCGTTTGAAGCTATATGGGTACTGGGTTTGAGCCTCAGTGGGGAGGAGAACACCATCACTTACTGACTGAGGTAAATTCAGTTACATGCCACTGGCGGACGAGTCCCAAATGGTGCGGTGAAATGCGCATTATCCTGGAGATTCACCACTCACCAAATCACACTTGAAGTCTTTATTTCTTTACATCCATTGTGATGATATGTGTTTTCGCGGGATTGTGTATTTGTGGTGTTCACCCTTTTCCACACTATACACTAAAATTCGTAAATAGCTCTTGGTTTGTGGGGATTTGATGTGTTTCGAGTTTGACCAAGACGGATTGTTATCAGTTAGAGAGATGAGAGGGTACAGCAGGAATTGAATACACTGACGTCTAGTTCTTAAAGACAGAATGAAATCTCTCCGCAGATACAAAAGTCTTGTGTGACACCTGCCAACATAGCTGGCACTGAAATAGAGACCAAGTCGGAAATTAAATATCTTGGCGTCATTTTATCTCCTGATCTTTCCTGGTCGTCTCATATCTTAATGATTTCTAAGAAAATATTCTGTCTAGCCTTCTACATGGAGAAGTTAAGACATTCTGGAATAACCCAACCCAACCCTTACTCTTACGATTCGTTAGCTTCCGTATTCTGCCTATTATTCTCTATTGTGCCACCTTAGTTTTTCCTGGGCTATTGAAGAAAGACTATACCTTATTACGTAGGATGTTAAAGGTTGTCAGCAGGGTAAGCTACATGCCACTTAACCAGCTTGTTAATATTCTGGTTGACAGGCACATGGACTCATGTGAAAAATGGGCTAAATCTATCCTATCTATCTAACTCACACCACTCACACTCTTCATTCACAACTCTCCCCTTGTATCTCTTCAGGAAAAACCAGAAGTCTATACAGAAAACTATATGCCTGCACTAGCAAGTACAAAAACTCAACCATACCCTACTTAGCTCGTGTTCTGCGTGAAACCTATAACTTATTAAATAGTCATTAGAACAACTGGGTCACGCCTTCCCAACTCATATGATTTATCATTTTTTTGTTATGTGCTGTTACGTTTCTCTCTTCCTTACAAAACTCTACTTAAAAAATTTTTCTTCGTTCTTTCACACTCTGTATATCTAGACCTTTTTCTTACCGCTTACGCCAGTAAATATGCTAGTAGTATCTACTTTTCTAACACCTTCACACACTCTGTTCAATTTTGGCTTTGCTACCGACATGCTAGTATGTTGTTATCAAAACTAACTGAGATTACCCATAGTTTATGTAGAATTTTATTTATTGTTAATGTACTAACTGGATGCAATAGTGTAGTGAAATGCTGAGAATTCCATTCTGTGTATCACAAGTGCTGTTTTGGAATAAAGTAGATTATTATGATTATTATTATGTTATCTTTGACACAGGTGTGCTATGAAGCTGATTATCGACCAGAGGACGCGTGTACTGCGCGGGAGAAGTTTGCTCCGGGGGCTATAAGCATGGATAATGAAGTTCCAGTGGCAGTGAATGCTATTTCTGTTTTACGGGATGAGGTTCTTAGCCTCAAATGTCCAACTTTCCCACCCACCTACCTCACCCCGGTTTACACGACTAACTACAAGCTTAGAGAGGTTAAAGGAGTGATCTGGACTACTGCAGGTGTCGTCGGTGAGAATTCTACCACTGAACCCACGACCAATGCACTTTTATCCAACACAAAAACAGTTACTGTCTGGACGATATAAAGATAGTGTAAACAATTTTACATTATTATTACTATTATATGCTTACCTTTCCACCATTCCATGCTGTTTGAAGTATAATTTGTGAATTCATACGGTTTGTCATGAAGTACACGAATGCATGACCAAGCATTACATTACGTAGGGTTGAAAAACTCTGTCACGAAGATAAAACAACAAAAAAAGAAACAAAGATGAAATCTACTGAAGGAAATACTCGTAAAGGTAATACTCAATTAGAGCAGGAATGTAAGGCGGTGAGTTGTACGTCTTACAGTGAAAGAGAAGAGATGAAAGCCTACAGACAATGGTGGATCCAGTTGAAGAGGACTGCTCAGGACAGGATAAAAATGGAGATGTGCTGTTGAAGCCCTATTTTCCACCTGGAACCCAACGAGATAAATAATAATAATACCCACTCTGTAAAAAGTGAGGAGATGGCAGAACAGCATCTACATGATTATTCAGTTGCTGGTTTTGTAGGGATTTGATTGGTCCCAGGGGTCGCGCTATGTCATCAATCGGCAGAAGTTGGAACTCATGGGCCATTGGATCGGGTCCCAGTGGCTTAATGGTCTACGAGATCGCTCGCCTTGTAACCGATAGCTCCCGGGTTCGAATCCCAGTGGGTACGTACAGATGAAGAGACCCATACTAGGACGAAACAGCTTCCCAGTACTCCCAGGTTTCCCAAAGGTTTTCTAACTAATGTCAGTTCATGATGAGATCCTGGAAGCATCTACATGAATAAAACAAGTTTCAGTCGAAACACAGCACAAATATGAGTTGAGCTCCAGTTAAAACCTGATCCTTAAGTACAAACAAAACCTCAGTCATCATCAATAGAATAGATTAAGTCAAACACAGGTTGGCTGAAACATACGTCGTCGCAATTCACAGTGTAAGGAAATATTTTTCTGAATAGTATTACCAATGAGTTAGCTGATCGGTATGTCTCTCTCCAATTGATACCAGTTCCATTAAGATTGCAGATACGCACATTCCTGATGAGTGCCATCGAGTACAAAACTTATATCAATGGCTCTCTACAGCCATCCAACTAACATTAGTTCAAAGTATACCGTAATGGCGATTCCTCTGGCTAAGTAACCTCACACTGTCAATTTGACTAGCAGAATTCAGCAACAACATACAGAGGGCCAGACATCATATATTGGATAATGACCAATCAATATCACGCAATTTTCTAGTTGAAACAAAGACCTCTACAATTTCACACATGTATTCCCCTTTTATGAATCTGAACAGACCAAGAACCACGGTTTGTAAAAGGAAGTTGGAGGAGGAATTTCGGATTCTCGAAACGATGTTGAATAACAACGGTTGTCGTCACAAAATCCACTAAAGAAGTACGGAGGATTTATTTTTATTTATTTATTTTTTTGATTACAGATTGATTCCACACTGTATTTTTGGTACGAGTATGGAATTTTCAGCGTGGATATCGGTAGCCCAAATTTTACAGGCCGACAATAGGTATCAGGTGTGAGTCGGCAGGGGATCGAACCTTGGACCATATGCATGGTCGGCGAGAGTCATAACCACTGTGCCACCGACGCAGGGGAATAAGAAGGTTCAAATGCCAAAACATATCACAGTCAAAAAGATGCCTATTTTCATTCAAGTCAACTTTAAGAGTGATAATATTGCAGGAATAGTTAACAAAAGACTGAATGCATCACTGGCCAGAACGTATCCTGCAAGCTAAGTCTGTTTCCGTTTATCAGACAACATGCTCTGTGGTCCAAACAAAAATCGACATATAACTCATTAACTGTGTATACAAATTTACATGTATCTGTACTACTAGTTACAACATTATGAGAATAGAAAGTCGAGCACATCTCCGATTTTCTGAACATGTCTCAAGGGAACAAACGTTTAGAATACTGCCTTCATTGCCGGACATCTTGTCAATATATGCCATGAGGTGGACATTATGAAACCCTCTAGAATAATCAACAGACACAATAGTTCTATTCTCCTCAAGTTTTCCGAAGCAACTGCTGTCATATACACCACCAAAGCCGATTTATCTGTAGTTCAGAAAGAAGCACCTATCAGTCTTTCCTTGACATGGTAACTGAATGCCTTTAGTCTCTCTTCCATTTGAGATTGCGTAATCGCTGGCATTAACCTCTACCCCGTTTCTGCACAGTATAACTTTGATTTTCCGTCGCTCGTTTCTGTGATTTGAAATGAACTCACCAAATTGTTGCTCAATTCGTTAGTTACGCATCACCATACCTCTTGTCTCTATTACGCAACTCTTCGGCCATTGTGTCCATGAATTTTTAAAATGTTAACCTTGAACTTCCTACACACTTTTTATGAAGTCTGAAGTTTTATGCCGATAATTAAATGACATTATGTAATATTTGCAAGGATGTTTAAAATTGTTCTGTGCATGAAACTGAATTCATTTCTTTGAACTGTACTCATCATCAGCTGACGGAACAAATGATGGTACCATCGTGTTCTGTTCTGCACAAACTATTGTGTTTTTTTTTTATTTATATATAACATAGATAAATCGTACTAATGATAGCAACACATAGAGTCACAAAAGCTGATGCTTTCAATTCCATCAAGAACTCATTACATACGAAAATTACGCCGATAATAGTGAACTACTTATAAACGAGTTAAGTAGACAGAAGAAAAAAACCTCAGTAGAACTGAAAATACTTACCGTTTCAAGTAATGTGGCTGTCAGTATATCTGGGCATAATATGAATGCTTGTTTCAGCAGCTGATAGACTTCTGAGTATGCACCTCTTTCAGATAGACTAAGCAGTGTCTGAACATAATCGATATTTTTCCTAGAAAGAAGAAAAAGATAATTCAGACTTAAAAAAGGTTCTGCAAATGTATATAGAATAGAATGTTCTGCCGGTATGAGAACATAAAAGATTACAAGTTATAGAAAATGGGTATTATAGAGCAAACTGGATCAGCAGCTGCCTTTCGACTGAATCATCAGTAAGGGGACACTGAATTCGTTCCCAAATAAGCAAATTATCTGGCATTGGCAACACTTCAGTCTGGTGGTTAGAAAGCATTTCTAGTATCAATCATCAGTATATAGATAGAGAAGTATTTGGAGTGAGTTCAAAGCAGAAAAAAGTCTTTTTTTAGAGATTAGCAGGACATCAAGTATATTAAGATTTCAGGATTTCATCATGAGCTGACATTAGTTAGAGAACCATTGGAAAACCTGGGAGTACTGGACAGCTGTTTCGTCCTAGTTTGGGACTCTTCATCAGTACGCACCCACCGGGATTCGAACCCAGGACCTTCCGGTTACAAGGCGAGCTCGTATACCATTAAGCCACTGGGACCCGATCCAATGGTCCTTGAATTCTAACTTCTGCCAGTTCACGACATAGCGCGACCGCTAGCCAATGTCTTCGGCTATTAAGATTATTGGAATTTCGATGCCTGCACTCTCCCACAGGAAGCAAACAGATCGCAGAAGTCAACGAAGGCAAATATACACACTCACAGAGCTTTGAAACACAGTTTAATATTCTGTCGCGTTGAAATACTCGCCGTACACTACTCTCTGCATTGACTGAGGAAACTAGTACAGAAGTAGCAATAGACTTTCAAGAAATGAAGTAGATGAGTCTTTGAGACTTCCCTATTTGATATAATCGAGAGATGATGTTTACACTCGTGTCTGGTATTTATTCGCCTCTAAGTGTATAAACACTTTCGAGTTGAAATGGAAGATGCTGAACTCAGTACCCAGTTATATTTTGGGACCCAGTAATCCCTGCTCCCCTCTGTGTCATTCAGGACCAAAGTTTAGGCTGAATTCCAACTATCAACCATTTAAGTAAATTTTCAGGTATTGGTTTTGTAGGGAGTTTTTTGTTTGATTGCTGAACAGTCCCAAACTAGGACGAAACAGCTGTCCAGTACTCCCAGGTTTTCCGATGTTTCTCCACCTGATGTGAGCTTATGATGAAATCCTTCACGTAATCTAAATAAATCACAATGTTTATCAATAAGATTGAATATCTCAATAAAAGGCACGAATACCACACATACCATAAGCATCTTTCTATCCAACAAAATCAACAACGACGACCACTGGCATTTCTGCGAAGTCGTTGGATCAGTATACCACAGACCTAATCGGCAAGAAGGCTAGTGATATTACTACTCCTGTGATTCCATTGGTCACAACAAAAATTTTAAAAAAAGTCGCTGTCCGCCCTCTACAACTTTAGATACTACTCTCTCTCTGTGTCTTGAACAGAACGAATTTATCATTTGGTGGATCGTGTACCTGCACTCCCCAAGTAAATGATGGTATCTCAACTAAGGCTCGAGTTTGGTACCCATCACATTTCAAAAGCTAAAGCGTTATCCACTAGATCATTTGAGGCATATATTGTGCAACATATTTCTTTTTTTTTATTATAACTTGATTCCACACCGTATTCTTGGTACAAGTATAAAATTTTCAGCATGTGATATTGGTAGCCCAAATTTTGCAGGCCGACCATTAATATCAGGTGTGTGCATCGGCAGGGAATCGAACCCCAGACCGACTGAGTGAAAGCCAAGAATCCTAACCGCCATGTGTTAGTTATTATTTGTCCTTCTTTTCTTCCCAATGATTTATTGCATGGAACAAACCTTCGGCCTTTGTTGACATGTCGGCGCGCTCCATCTACCAAATTTACTTCAAGTGGATTTACTCAAACAACGTTGAAGTTATCCGTACTAGGGGAAAAAAGGCTAACATGGCTCAAAACAAAGGCTCCAAATCAAAATTGAATTTGAAAACGTGTCTATTGTCTGTCTGGCACACCATTAACACATTTATGATTAAAGTACATAATAATAATAATAATAATAATAATAATAATAATAAACACAATTTCACAAACACAAAAAAGGGAGAGATGAACAGACAGACTAAAATCGAAATTCAACAACGCTGAAGTATTTATTGATCAAGATAGTAATTGTGTATTATGCTGTGCCGTGTAGTGCGGTGCAGTGCAAGTACTCACATAACACACACACTCAATCTCTCTTTGTGATAATTACCAGTTCAGCGTATTATACTTAAATATATTTAAATATAGTGCTCAGGTCACATGATGAGGTTTATTCACCGAGAGAGAGAGTAATTGAGACACATTATTTTTTTATTGTTTTGCACACATGCACACAAGCACACACCACACAGATACACGGGTAAGCGCGCACGTAAACAAAGTCGTAGACACAGTTCCACGTGACTGTATTTGTTTTTGCTTAAAAGAGCACTGCAGTGAATATCAGATAATAATAATAGTAATGATAATAATAATAATAATATCATGGAACACTGATGAATTGAAAAGGTGCACCTAGACTAAATATCTCTGTACTTCACAGTCAGTCCGTGAAGAACCTAGAAGACCTGGATTTCGCGCGTGGATCATTTAAGTTTGATGTCACTGTCACAAAATCGAAGACTTACAAGCAAAAACCAACCGACAAACTGGTCGAAGAAGCAGCCGGCGAAGACAGGACTCAAAGTGAACATAGACAAGACACAGGCTATGAAAATAACCAACCAACAACAACAACAGCAGCAAAATCCAACGCCAATCACCATCAACGGGAGGGATTTGAAAGAGGTTACTTCATTTACTCGCTGACCTAGGGAGCATTGTCTCAACTACACGCAGTCGGAACGGACGAGGATGTCAAATCGAGCGAGAAACACATTCATCAACCAACTGAAACCAACCTGGAAATCTTCGTCACTCAGCCATCATCAACAACAAAATTCAGTCGGATTTGCAATACAAACGAAAGTTAAGTCAGTCAGTTCTTCTATACGGATCAGAAACTTGGCGGGCGGGTCACAAAGAATATTTCCAACAGCCTGTTGCAGACCTTTATCAACAACAACTGTCTTCGCTGGCTCTATACTGAAGATCAGATGGCCGGGCCGGAAAGAATCACCAACAAGAAATTATGGGATGGGAACAAACAAAACAAGAAACAATCTCCAACCAACAAATATGCAGGAGAAAGTCGAGATGGATTGGACACTCGCTCACTGAGGAGTCCACTGGGCGACATCGCGCGCGCGTCAGGCCATCGCTCGAGTGAAACCAGGCCGAAAGGGAAGCACGCGGCGAGTGAGACGTCAGTGCAAGGCTGACATGGAGGAGATCGTGTGGAGAGGAGTTGAAAGAGTATGGACTAACTAACATGGATGCAGGTGAAAAGTACAGCAGAAGGAAGACAGAAGTGGCAAGTGGAGACGTGCAGTTGAAACCCTATGTTCCTAGGGAAACATACCGCATATGACTATACTTTGATGTATTTCTTATCGACTCATCTGTTCCTGTGGAGCTAGGAACATTACCTAACACGGCTGTAAAGAGGAGGCGGCACCAGTTTGTTAAATTAGAAGCGTCAGTATTGGAGACGCCTCTCGTCATCAACATCCACCTGTCAAGGCATCTCTATCTCTCAACTGTCATTTACAAAGTGAACAAAAATCTCTATCAAAGGTAGCGTGTTTTCAACTTTTTTTTGTACTGTAGAAGCCTTCGCCATATAAGCACCGAAAAGCCGAAGCTATATATGGTGTTCAAAAGAAACCAGTTCAACGTCACCAATAAGCATGCATCAAGTTGGATTGGATTCATTAGCCTTCGAGCTTTGCTTTGTCATTCCCTTAAGTTTGACTTTATCTTCAGTTGAGGTTATGTGTCGAGTGCTAGACAACGGGAGGGGGGAAAAATCAATCAATGAGGTTGTGAAGGTGAATCGAGTGAGATGGTTACGACATGTAGTTGTGACTATAAAATCTTTGACAGTTGGTTTGACCAATTCATGTAGGATGATGTGAGGCCTCCTGGTTGAAGTCCTTTAGGTAGTTAGTACCAATTGCTGAAGACAATTAGTGGCACTATGGCTGGAAATCGTCATATGGCCCAAATGCATTCACTCCCTGTAATCTCTATTACATATCGATTATATACTAATGTTTCCCGAGTTACTAGTGTTTTTTCGCGATCAGTTTTCTGTTCATTATAATCTTTTTGAGTGACTGACTGACTAGTGGTTTCAACGTAGAACAGCTTCGCACAGATGTGCAGCACTTCAAGTAGCCACACTTCACTCAGCACACAAAGCCAGAGAAGAAAGTAAAAAGAAATGCAAAATAGAGACGGTAAACAGAGATATGAGGCAAAAAGAATAATAATATCGAAGAACAATATAGTTTTATTGGATATTATAAGTCACTAGGAGTGGATGCATCTGCGCCAGCCATTGAGAATGATGAGTTTGAGCCATATCACCAATTGTCTCCAGCCTTCGGTTGACTAGCTTTCTACCTCTCTTTGTGTGGTGCATAAAGCGTGACAAGTTGAAGTGGTGCACCTCTGTGCAAACCAGTCACATTATGATTTAGAAACCTACTTTGAAATAAAATCTAGCCAGGCATTTTAGGATGATGGATAAACAAAGTAGTAAGGCTGCATTTATTCAGCTGACAACTGGGCGTTACCCGACGAGATTACAGCGTGAAATAATTAATGATCTAGTTAACAGACGGATTCTCTTAGATTGCCTGATTACCGATGATTTGAGTTCTGACACGACACCGACCTTCATTCACTTGACAATTTTTCTGCCTGTCTGTTTTCGACATAGAACTTTGCACATACGTGCGGCAGTTCGAGTCGCCATACTCCACTACTTGTAGCACACAAATCAAGAGAAAGTAGAAGAAATGCATAATAGAGACAGTAAACAGAGGTGTGAGACAAACGAATAGTAGTAACGAAGAACAAAATAGTTTCATTAGAAATTATAAGTCACAAGGACTGGATGCATCTGCACCAGCCATTGAGAACGACTTTGAACCATATCACCAATTGTCTCCAGCCATTGGTTTTTAACGTCCCGAGGATCCCAACCAGTTAGGAAGCCTACACCTCCCTCTGTGGTTTAAACTAACTGTTGTGGATTTCGTTGACTCGTGCAATGTTTTCGTTTGACCGCTACTAGCTCTTTTCTAACCTGACATTATGTCAGCTAACATTGCTCATTGTCGAGGAAGGCGATGACTAGGCATTTATTCGTAACACATGTCCTAACCATCTCAGTCGATGTAATTTCACAGCCTCATCGATTGATTTCCCCTCCCACCTACCTAACACTCGACCGATACCCAACCTCAATATTGCTCATCTTATTATACCACTTCACACGGGAGATAGGGCCCAGGCACCTATGATCAAAGACAGCTGACTAATCTTTTCATGTCTTCCACTCTCAGTTAAACTGAGTCAGGTAGGGAGATGCAGACTCCCGGGTTGGGGCCCTCGGGACTCTAGGAATTAATGGCTGGAGACAATAGGTGACATGGCTCAAAATCGTTGTCAATGGCGCAGATGTATTCAATCTCTGTAATCTTTCATATTCCTTTCTACCATTACCCATTCTGTTTCACTCTTATACTTGTCAAACTCTATTAATTCTCTCCACTCATCTTCTTGTCTACCTCTGTGTGCTATTTGGAACGTGGCAACTCGAACTTCTGCACTTCGGTGCCAAGTTCTATGTTGAATCCAGACAGACAATGGCCAGGCCTCACAGCCATAAAGGAGGATGGAGCGGACTAATGAGCAGTACACCCAACCTTTGGTCGATAGCCAGCCGGATATCACGTCTACGCCAGAGACGGCGTAAACTGGCATGTACGAAACTAGCCCAATCTTGACAATCTTTGAATGACCATCATCCATTAGATCGATCAATGAATAACACTCAACCAACTCTCTACAGACTATTTCACCAGATAGTTTCGCTCAGTCACTCACTCACTCACTGTCGAATAAATCACAATTTGTCGTAAATTAGATGACGAGCGTGAATCGAACGTGTTTCACACACGGATAAATCGATGAAGCAATAAGCCAATTTGCTTTTTTCTTTCCTTACATTCTATGTTATGGTATTCGATAATAATCGTATATACAGCGCACACACACACCTACACAGGCGCACACATACATGCAATCAATCAATCAAGCAGCTGATTAGAAATGTGATCAAAAAGGAGGACAGCAGAAAGAAACCACAATAAAACAAAAGAATATACATATAACACGTTATTGGTCACGTGGTGTAAGAAACGCTAAAAAATCGTTACATGCATACATGATTACTTCATACAATTAAATAATAAAAATAATTAGCAGGTTGTACGGCGCAAAACAGTTAATTAACTGAAAACAATTGTTTAACTGTCAAGGATTTTATGGATTGATGGCATGGTTTTGTTTGGCCACCACTTACTCTTTTCCAACCTGCACCTATATCAGCTAGCTAGTAATGCCCGTCGGGGGAGGCGATGGTTAGGCATGCGCACCACGTCACCTAGCCATCTCAATCTATGTAACTTTAGAGCTTCGTCGATTGATTTTCCCTGTTTGCCCAACACTCTACGCCTAACGTCAACATTACTTACACCTTATTATACCACCTAACGTGAGAAAGAGATCGTAGACATCTATGATCAAAAACAGTCAACCTTTTCATGTCTTCAACTCGTATTAGCCATTTTTGAGAGCCATACAGAAGGACGGAGCGCGAACTGCTGAGCAGTACACACGTCTCTTGGTTGATAGCCGGATGTCACGCCTACGCCCGACCGAAAGCTGCTACCTTGACGTGGTGGTCGGGCTTGAACACCGCAATGACCCAACAAGCTATACTGGCTGAGACTTATGTCGTATGAGGTCCTACCATGCCAGAAAGGTTGTTTGGATAGCGGTTACACAAAAAGCAGCTACCCAATTCAATGCTATGACACAAACAAAATCACAAAATATCATGCCGGATCGGTCGGGGCCCGGATTAACAACGACCGCGCTTCCTGCTGCCGTGTCACAGGGTAGAAGTGATAAATATGCTACTGAGACACACCAAATAAAAAAGAACAAACCTTACGGTACCGCCGCATCATGGGCTGAATACCTATCTGCTTTTTCTATCCAATAAAAGCTGTGAACAACATGGGAGTTGTTAGGATGAAATTTGTGGCGCTGAAACACATTTCACTACTTACTAAACAGGGAACTTCAACGATGTTTAAACACACCACGGGACCTCAAAATTTCTTATACAGTGTCAGTGGATGCAAGTAATTCAACCGGTAGTAGAGATGATAGAACGCGCAGATTAAACAACACATCGTTAGGTCACAGAAGTCACACATCTCACAGATGTAAACCGCGTAAATGAATTCAAGTCGCAAGGCGAAACCCTTAGACCTTTCAAGTAGAATGTATTCCAGAAAAATGCCGATCAAGGTTAACTGACCAACCCATGAAGTATTTGACTTTTGTTCGGAGCTCACTATGGTTATCGAAACGACAAGAGCCAATATAACTAGAAACCTATTGGTGATATGGTTCCCGAAATTGCTATTACTGACATCGAGCTATTCACCTTTTTTGATGTCCCAGATGCATTCCTGTAATTTCAGTTTATGGTGTAGTTTCTTCGGATATTTTTTCTATCATCACGGATGCCCTTATAATAAAGCGTGGCCAGTTGAACTGTTCCCCTTTTGGGAAAAGTTTTACGCTAAAGATTTGTTCACTTCCATAACTTCTAAGTCATGAAAGACTCGTGCTTATGTGTGAACACATCATTTATATATATATATATAGCAACTGATATAATAGAGAAAGCTAACATGCAGAGCGTTAAATAATAATACAATATGAAGTATATAATTGAATTTGAGATTTTCCCGTCGATTGATTGGACCGAAGTGCTCGGTCTCAGGTTGACATGTCGGCTTCTTGTGCAGATGCTTCGACGATGTCTGAGCATTTAATTAGTATTTAATTGGTGGATGGTGACTAGCAATGGAATCCAGCCAGGATGCGCATTTCGTCTTATTTGGGACTCGTCAGCTGGATGTACTCGGTGGGAACATCATCACTCACTGAGAAATGGAGGTACATCCAGCAAGAAGACAAATCCCAAATGGGAGGAAATGCACATCCTGGATTCCACTGCTAGTCACCATCCACTAATTAAATACAGTATGAAGTATTTTGAAAAATAATAAATACAAATCAAGTGTAGTTGGCAGTGAACCAAAGCAACCATGTAACTGACTCACACACGCATACACAGGGTACACACACACACACACAAAAATGAAAAGAAATTTTTCAACTCACCATATTTGCAGCGAAAGACTTTGATCTTCAGTGACTGAGATACGATATAGGGTGAGATCAACATATCGGCATGGCCAACATGTGGCAGTTAAACAAAGTATATCAGGATATATACAACAATAATGTAATAAACTTAATTGCCCATAAATATTTTTCCATAAGTGATAAAAGAAATCCGTAGGTAGTAGATATGATAGATGATTAGCAGCATAAGAAATAATTTGTTTAAATAAACTGAAAGACTGACGGCTGGAGATCATAAACTCTGGACAATCGAGATGATTTAATATCTTGAGGTAGAAAAGCAAGAAGACAAAAGAAGGAAGAAAAAGAGGTATTATCATTATCCGTAACCAACTCGTAAAAACATAACTAACCCCTAAAAACCAAACTATAGAAAATTAATCTGATGCTCACCAGTGACTGACTTGCTAAAGAATGGAGTTTGCTGGAAGTTGCCACCCGGTGAGGTCCATCCAGATGTCATGTGTGAGGATGGATGTCCCACCAACGACAATGGTTGGGGTCGCGCTAAATCCCGAATCGGTAGAAGTTAGAATTCATGAGCTACTGAATCGGGTCCCAGTGGCTGAATGGTATACGAGCTCGATGGCCTTGTAACCGGAAAGTCCTAGTTTCGAACCACTGTGGTGTGGCTGCGTACTGCCAATGATTTCTAACCTAGGATAAAACAGCTGTCCAGTACTCCCTAGTTTTTAACGGTTCTCTAACTGATATGAATCCGTGATCAACTCGTAAAAACATAACTAATCCTTACAAACCAAACTATAGAAAAAAACTTACTGAATAAGATAAACGGCATGCATGTGAACAGCAAACCTGTTTGTTACAGACCTTAACCCCACTGGGTAAGTTGGGATGTACAACTTATCAGGTCGACTTTACCTGACCCTGCATTTCCGCGGTGTATAGATACCATAGAGGAAATACTTAGCTGCTATCATGCCTCTATTCATTCACGAGTGGTGCGACTTCATCCACACAGATCATCACCATAGGGTAAACGACTTACACTATAAGAGTAACTGCCTTTAGTCTAGCCACTAATCGCGTAACTTTTCTGGTATGACAGCATCTAGACAAACGTTCGTCCCCACCAGTGTGTGTGTGTGTGACTGGCTTGTTGTGGTGTTATGTAAACCCCAAACAACAAGTGAAGGTAGAAGCCAACACTCGGACACTAAATTCATACACACACACACACGTCAATGTGCTGGTGAACCAGAGGCGGAATGTCCGTTACAATCACGCCTCACATGAGGTTTAGAGTTCGATTCTTAGCCGACACACTCGTAAACCGCCCCTAGCCGGTACCAAACCCGGAAAAGTGGGAAGGTTAAAGACATAAGGTCAGAAACACCACTATGTAAAAACAACACTACCGACACTGAAGCTTTAAGACTGAAAATTCGCCCTATATCTATATCTCCCACTCGGAACGCACAAAACTAGCGCCTAATTATGAGTAAAACCCACCATATAAATAATACAGACGTAAAAACAACAAAGAGGGAAAAAATATTATACATACGGCGGTTATTTGTAAATTGGGATTTAATTCAAGTAGAACAGTGAGAAAGTTTTCCACATTCCATGTAGACAACACTGGCGGATCCGCTTCATTTGTTGCATCTGTATATGCAGGCAGCGTCGAAGAAGGAAAAAAACAGCAAAGCAATTGTTAAATCAAGAGGAAAAACACTGAAAATAACTAACCAGTTTATTAGATGTAGAAAATATGGCACACGACTGCATTTTAAACATTGGAGTGTGTGTGTGTGTGGGGGGTCCTCTCAGTGCCCACCCAAACCATGGAGTTACGTTTAGTTGGCTGTTAGCAAATCGACTTCCAATCAGTGGGTCACAGGTTCCGAATCCCGCGCCGGCTACAGAGATTTGAGCAATGAGGTAGTTGATAGGATCCCACACATTTTGTTATTGACTGTTAATCTCGCATACATGGTATATTATCATTTCTCACGCACTTTGTTATTGACTATTACGACCAATTATTTCAAATGCTGTTGGCTGTCTATATTGTTGTAAAATGTATAAATACCATGACTTTCTTTGTCGTAGTTGTTGTACTACAATACACAGTCACAGTCCAGTCTTTGTCTTTTGATATTTGCGTGCCTCACTGAATCGGAAGGTACCGCAAGCAGATAGGCATATTAGTCAGACGCAGACAGAACAAGGCGACAACGTCCTCATCTAATTCCCTACAGTTATAACAGTAGTATCGCTAACTTTTACAGAATAAAGAGCTGTAATATCTCATTTTCACTGTTCACCACCAAGACAATTATGTAGCCTCATGTATGTACACACATTGACTGGTTAGCAGTTCACTTAAACCACCATAGACTCCTCCCTCCTCGTGTAGCACTCTGGTGGGAACAATGATTTGTTACACTTAGGAGTGACTAATGTCATGTAAGTCTAGAGATTATCATTGAGCGAATTCCCAATCAATACAGTGTTTTACAATCGAAAACCCATAAGTTAACAGGAGTGTCGAAGTTAGTAAGTACTCAATGTGAGGATAGACTGACTGACTGACTGATTGGTTTCAACATACAACATTCCACAGATATGCAGCTGTAGCAGCTCCAGTTCCCACTCTCTCTCTCTCTCTCCATCTATCACACCCAAAGTAAGAGAAGATAGGAAACAGGGATTCAAGGAAAGAGGGACACTGAACACAAGTGTGAATGAGGGAAAAACAATAGAATTTCATTGGAAATGATAATTCACAAAGAGTAGATACATCTTCGCCATCCATTGATAATGAGAGTTTTGACCCTTATCATCAATCATGTCTCCAACCTTCATTGATTCTTACCATCCTGAAGATCTCAACAAGTCAAGCAGTCTACACCTTCCTACGGGACGCCTGGCTTAAACTAACTGTTTTGAATTTCGTTGACTGATGAAGAAGCCATGTTTTAGTTTGATCACCATTAGCTCTTTTCCTCCAGCCTGATCCATTCTATGTCAGCTAACATTGCTCTCCAAGCAACTAACTAACTGGGTTGTACCATCGGTCACCAGAGCCCACATATAAACTGTGTCTCATAGCAAGAAACATGCAAGACCTGAGCTCAGATTCAACCAGTTACTCGGTAGCCTACCTAGCATTATTCATCATCAAGAGGAAGGTGGTTATGGTGTGCCAGAAGGCCCCATTTTCGAAACCCATTTGGTGTGCAGGACTGAAGAGTCTCCGACTAAGTATTTATTTATTTAAACGCAGAAAAAACTTGGTACAATATGGCACCAAGAAGGATGCGCTACACAATAATAATAATAATAAAACAACATAGATCAAAAGAAAAAAAGAAGGAAAAGAAAAAATATATAAGCAGAGAACGGATAAAGAACTTCATCTAGAAGGAAAACAGTCATGCTTAACAAGTTCAAACAGTATTCGTTAACTATCATCGGGAAGGGAAGAAAGAAGGAAATTTCAACACGTTCGCCATTGATGATTACGATTCTTGGCCACATCCGATAACGTTTCGAGCCATCGATTCGAGCTATCTCACGGACCCCAACAAGTAGGGAGTCGTGACACACTAACCGATACTAATCTAGCACAAAAGTCCTTCATCCCAGGACGCCACATCATGGACTGACCACCTCTCCGCCTTTTCCATCCCGTCCCAGGGTTGGCTAGCGAACAGAGACCTGTACGGAAACCGAAGCATTGTATACCTGAACTTTGACAGTCAGGCTAACATCACAACGGTGCCATAGGTGGCTCAAGTTGATGTATGCCACCCTAGCCCTCATTATACGGTTGGAAATCTCATCCGTCACCCCTCCTCCAGCACTCACACAACTACCCACGTACACAAACTTATCAACAACTTCAAGTGGTTCACCCTCAAGACTGAGTGCAGGCACTGGCTCCTGCCAATCTTGTAACAGTACTTTGCAATTAGATGGCGCAAACCACATATACCATACTTACAGACACTCAAACTAGGACGAAACAGCCATCCACAATACTTCCAACTAGTTTCCAATGATTTCCTAACTGACATTAATCCGTAATTCAACTTGAAGCAAATCATATCTCTACAAACTAAGCCATTGAGAGTTGAATATCAATCGGTATTTTTTTCTACTCAATGACGTCATTATGGTTTGAAAAGAAAGAGAAGCACCGTCAAGTTACAAGTATTCAGAATTAATGATAAACAATTTCTATTTCTTCTTATCACTACTGTATCACTTACTGCTACTACTCAAATGATAAGATTTATGACAAATTTACATCATATGATATCGATTTATGTATATCTTATTGTAGAAGAAGGAGACTTCCTTCATCAACACCTACTTACTCTCTCTGTTGTGGTGTAAATCAAAAACACTGATTATTGATTACTGTTGGTCTATTGTGATATAATGTAAGATAAGAGAAAATAGGGAGATAGCAAGAATAACAAAGGAGGAAACACAGAATTTGTTAATAACCAAGTTGAGTGTATGGAGCAGCATATAAGCTATTTGAAAAATTGTATATACATATAACAACAGAACTGTAATGCACACATTTCTTGTCAGAGGTGGCGGGTGTGTGTGACAGAGAGAAGAAGAGGATGCTCAGGCTTCGTGTGCTTTTGGAAGTAAGTGGGCGGTTGTTACTTCCCGGCTGCCCACACCATGGAAGTTGATTGATGCGCTTCGGGTACCTGAAACAGATAGAGGGATAGTGTTGCGTGACCTCAGAGACCAGGGGACAACTGCTTGAGGCCGGTCAGACACGACCTGAATGAACTGGTTTCTTGGTTTGGTTCCGTATTGGTAAACTAACCACCGGTTACGGGCCACCATAGGTGGGGTAAGTCGGCATGTACGATTTTTAGGGTCGATCTTTTCTAACCCCCACTCTCCAGCAGAGTGGAGAGATAGCATAGCTGGCTGGCATGCTGGCCATCTGAGGGAAACACCTCACTGCTGTTACATCCCTATTCTCCTGCAGTACGACTTCACCCACAGACCCCCAGTATAGTATAAAAACAAAAATCTTACACAAAGCCGGTAACTGCTTTTAATCTAATCACTATCCTAACAACCTTCCTGGCATAGTAGGACCTGTAGGAACATTGGTTCCAGTAAGTGTCTGTCTGTTTTCGACATAGAACTTTGCACAAATGTGCGGCAGTTCAAGTCGCCACACTCCGTGTAGCACGCGAAGCATGAGAAGAAAGTACAAGAAAGGCATAATAGAGACAGTGAGCAGAGGTCTGTCTGTCTGTTTTCGACATAGAACTTTGCACAAATGTGCGGAAGTTCAAGTCGCCACATTCCGTGTAGCACGCGAAGCAAGAGAAGAAAGTACAAGAAAAGCATAATAGAAACAGTGAGCAGAGGTGTGAGACAAAGGAGTAATAAATAAATACAAAACAGTTTCATTGAAGATCATAAGTCACAGGGAGTGGATGCATCTGCGCCACTGAGAACGATTTTGAGCCATGTCACCAATTGTTTCCAACCATAGATTTTTGCCGTCCCGAGGACCCCAGCCTGGAAGTCTACACCTTCCTACGTGGCTTAGACCAACTGTTGTGGATTTCATTGACTGGTGCCAAGTTTTTGTTTGACCGCCGCTAGCTTTTTTCCAGCCTGACCCTATATCCGCTAACATAGCTCGTCGAGGGAGGCGATGACTTGGCATACGTAACACATGTCCTAACCATCTCAGTCGATGTAGCTTCACGACTTCGTCGATTGATTTCCCCTCCTTACCTAGAACTCTACGCCTAACCTCCATGTTGCTCACCTTATTATGCCACTTTACACGGGAAATAGAACGCAGGCACCTATGATCAAAGGTAGCTAGTCTTTTCATGTCTTCCACTCTCAGTGGCCAGGTCTCACAACCATAAAGGAGGACGGAGCGGACTGATGAGCAGTACACCCGCCCTTTGGTCGATAGTCGAACATCTCGTCTACGCCAGAGTCGGCGTAAACTAACAAATGCGAAACGAGCCCCTTGTATTCGTGCTGAGATTTCGTCAGAGATCAGCCCGTTGGGGCTGATGGTACTTCCCAAATAAGTGAAGCGGTCAACGTGCTCTACCACTTCACTTCCTATTTTTAAACTAGGCGTCGATGTAGTCCAGTCCTGTAACATCATCTTGCATTTGGCGGGAGCGAATCGCATGCCAAACATTCGTAGATTGCTGTTCAAGGTGTTTAGAAGACTCTGCATTTTGTCAGCGTCTTCGCCTAGAAGGACTATATCGTCTGCATATTCCAAGTCAACGAGATTATTCCCAGGTAGCAAGTCAATCCCTGAATCGCTGAAGTCACCTAGGGTTAAGTCCATTAACACATCTATGATGAAGTTGAATAGAAAAGGAGATAATGGGCATCCTTGACGGACACCACTGGTCGTCATCAGTTCAGATGACAGCTCGCCGTAAGCCCTCACCTGGCTGTATGAGTACGAGTAGAGTGCCTTAATCAGTGCAATATATTTTCTTGGAATTCCCTTTACAGCCAAGCATCTCCAGAGAACTTCCCGATCGACAGAGTCGAATGCTGCCTTTAGGTCAAGAAATATAATGACTGTTGGACGCCGGTAGGAATGCCTATGTTCTAGAATCTGTCGGAGGGTGAAGATATGATCAATACACCCTCTTCCTGGTCTAAAGCCTGCCTGGCTCTCTCGTGTTTGTGCCTCCCGAGCACCACTCAGTCTACGCATGATTATTGAGCCTAAGACTTTAGATACTATATTAGTCAAGCTAATCCCTCTGTGATTATCACAGGAAGACTTGTCTCCCTTCTTGTATATGGGGATAATCAGTGACTTACACCAACCCGATGGGACTTCTTCTGATTCCCAGACGCTGCCTAGTACCTCAGTTAATCCGGACAGTAAGCTGTCTCCACCGAGCAGAGGTGTGAGACACAGGAATAGTAGTAACGAAAAACAAAACAGTTTCCTTGGAGATCATAAGTCACAAGGAGTGGATGCATCTGCGCCACTGAGAACGATTTTGAGCCATGTCACCAATTGTTTCCAACCATAGATTTTGACCGTCCCGAGGACCCCAGCCTGGAAGTCTACACCTTCCTACATGGCTTAGACCAACTGTTGTGGATTTCATTGACTGGTGTCAGTGTAGCTTGTTGGATCATTGCTATGTGCCAGCCCAACTACCACGTCAAGGTAGCAGCTATCGGTTGGGAGAGGATGTTCAATATACCAAGCGAATGAACCTGTGTCTGAACAGTGAGATGTAACAACAATATCAGTGTAAAAACAATTGGAATCAAAAAATTGTTTTGAAAATCCCTGTCTCCTCAACGATTTATTCGTGATAAATGATATTACTTATTTAGACGTTCCAAGTGATTTCGTCGTAATGATTACACGCTTTTCCCCCAACCCAGACTGTGTATCATTAATTTGAAAGTGCCATATCACACGTCGATTTTGATCTTCATTATTTGTCTTTGTCTTGCCTTGTTTCATCTCCAATTTTCAAGTATTGGTTTTGTAGGGACTTTGTTTGATTAGATTGAGGATTTCATCTTGAAAACCAATACTTGAAAATTAACCTGATGCTTACTAGCAACTGGCCCCAATTCAAGCAGTGACCTGGGGTTGTAGTGGGAAGCCGTGACCAGCAGAGTCCAGTAGGTTGGAGATGAGGCAGTAACTCACTCATCGAAGAAGACATTACGAAATGGTCGCGCTACGTCATAAATTGGCAGAAGTTAGAATTCATGGGCTGGCCATTGGATTGAGACCCAGTAGCTCGCCTGGTAACCACAAGGTCCTGGGTTCGAACCCCGGTGGGTGCGTACCGACGAAGAGACCCAAACTAGGCTGACGAAACAGCTGTCTGGCAGTACTCCCTGGCGGGTTTTCCAGTGGTTCTCTAACTGATGTCAACTCATGATGTTGAGATCCTGTAACCAATCAGATTGCTGCAAACTAAAACTTGACCATTCATATTTCGCATTCACACTTGAAGAAATAACAAGCAGACGAAAAAAAAAAACAGACAAACAAACAAACCCCGCTTACCTGATTGTCGATTATTTGTATCACAAATTGTAGGATCGATTTTCCAGCTATTCGCTTGTGATGATAGTGAATTACTTCTACTAGGTGTATTCAACTGTCCATCAGCTGTACGCAAGAATAAGCATAAACACTTTGCAATTGAAATAGCAGACAACTCATCCGGTTCAAAATCATTCAACACGGAACGTATCGACTCCAATCTAGACAGGATAAACAAACAAGTTAAGAAGAATAGAAAGAAAGATGAAATACACAAGTATATATACATATTTCAATTCACTGAACGAAATATTCCCATATTGAGTCATAAGAAAAGGCACAAACAGCGAAGAAAATTTTCTTTTCGACGATTCATTTTCATGAGCTGTACAATCGTAATTATAATTAAACACATAAATTTTTTACCAATCAGATACTGGTAAACTTTGTCCTTGCAAATTCTACTACATAGTGTGAGGTGTAAGAAGGGATGACTAATTGTCAGTTAGAAAGGAGACAGAAGTTGGCATGACCTAGTAAGTGTGAGATAATGACTAATCAATAAGCTAGTGTAGAGTGGACAGGAACTAGTGGAAAGGTTCTCTAGCCCTACCATGGCCAGAGTAAATTTCTGACTATAATTTTTCTCCTCTCTTTTAATATGTAAGTTCACTATTATTATTATTATTTTACTGTTCTTAATACTTTTATTATTATTACTATTCCCACCATCCATATTTTATTACCACTCTATGACTGTTTATTAATAACATGGCATTTTCACACAGATCTTATACAAAACTACTTTATAGCCTTTCCACTAGTTTCTGTCCATTCTCCACAAGCTTATTGATTAGTCATTATCTCACTTTTGTTAAGACATGCCAACTTCTGTCTCCTTTCTAACTGACAATTAATCATCCCTTCTTACACCTCACACTATGTAGTAGAATTTGCAAGGACAAAGTTTACCAGTATCTGATTGGTCAAAAACTTATGTGTTTAATTATAATTACGATTGTACAGCTCATGAAAATGAATCGTCGAAAAGAAAATTTTCTTCGCTGTTTGTGCCTTTTCTTATGACTCAATATTTCAATTCGACCATAGCAGTAAAAAAAAGGTGACAAGCACAAATACTGACTTGTTGATTTTTAAGCCAAGCTTTATTTGAAGGCCTTCAAATGGTACAATCAGTACAAACTTTCTGGTGAATTGGCGGGCAGACAGGAATCTATCTACACCTCACAAAGATACTGATCGATTAGTGGACATTTCAAAGAAGGTCAGTTCAGGGGAGTAAACGAATATTTCATCTTCCGCAGGTATTTTGAAATGGATAGTTCAATAGGAAAGATGGTGAGTCGGTCGGTCATCTAGAGTGGTAGAATGCTCGCCAACCACACCTTATGTGGTGGTCCGGGGTACACCATCCCTAGTGTTGACACCCTCTAAAACTTAACCTAGCCAGTACTAAACCCAGGAAAGATGGAAGCTTGGGTATGAGACTGGCAATCACACACACACCTAAAAAAAAAATTAATACCACTGCTACTCAAATTTTAAGGCTCAAGCTCGAAGCCCTATGCCCCGCTGAGAACCTAAATGAATGAATCTCATACGAAGCAGGTGAAGGATTATTATTATATTTATTGTTCCCTTGGGTTCCTAGTGGAACATAGGGTTTCAACTGCACATCTCCACTTGCCACTTCTGTCTTCCTTCTGCTGTACTTTTCACCTGCATCCATGTTAGTTAGTCATACTGTTTCAACTCCTCTTCACACGATCTCCTCCATGTCAGCCTTGCACTGACGTCTCACTCGCCGCGTGCTTCCCTTTCGGCCTGGTTCCACTTGAGCGATGGCCTGACGCGCGCGCGATGTCGCCCAGTGGACTCCTCAGTGAGCGAGTGTCCAATCCATCTCCACTTTCTCCTGCATATTTGTTGGTTGGAGATTGTTTCTTGTTTTGTTTGTTCTCATAGTTTCTTGTTGGTGATTCTTTCCGGCCCGGCCCGGCCATCTGATCTTCAGTATAGAGCCAGCGAAGACAGTTGTTGTTGATAAAGGTCTGAGTCAGCCTGTTGGAAATATTCTTTGTGACCCGCCCGCCAAGTTTCTGATCCGTATAGAAGAATTGACTGACTTGACTTTCGTTTGTATTGAAAATCCCACCGAATTTTGTTGTTGATGATGGCCGAGTGACGAAGATTTCCAGGTTGGTTTCTTTAGTTGGTTGATGAATGTGCTTGTCTCTCGCCTTCCCGATTCTACCTCGATTTGACATCCTTGTCCGTTCCGACTGCCTTGCAACAACAGCAGCAACATCTAGCGCCAATTACCATCAACGGGAGGGATTTGAAAGAGGTTACTTCATTCACTCACTGATCTAGGGAGCATTGTCTCAACTACAGACAGTCGGAACGGGCGAGGATGTCAAATCGATACAGGTGAAGGATACAGCACACAATTAATCAATGTTATACCATTTAATATTTCGTGTCTTCTTCGGCTCCAACTTCCTACCTCGAAAAGAATATGGAGTCTAACTGTAATTTGATTTTCTTCTCCTCGGGTCACCACTTATAACAAAAGTATTTCAATGTCATACGTTACTTTGGCATCCCCGTCGTGTCAACAGTGTTCATTATTCACAGCTCAGCCAACTTCAAGGGGCGACTGGAGAATCTTGAAAACTGATACGAAACGACTGTTCAAACCTAACCTTGAACAACCACTCATTACAGAAAAGTGACATTAAGACTGGTAAATTTGTTCATTAACTGTATGTCCCCCCCCACATATACAGACAGCCTTATTCTTCTCTAAGGTGAGTGAGGTAATACAATTTCTCAGTTAGGCACACTAAATGATTCACTATCTAAACAAAACTAGGAGATTAAATCAAAAGCGAATTATGAACGCAATATATGCACATGGTACTCATAATGAATGATCGGATTAGTTGACTCAGGGTCACTTTAAAGGCTCCTCCTTTAAGCAAACACATACACACACACCAAAAAAGGCAGAGAGATGATCACGTACGTTTTTGTACAGGTATAACCAAGCTCTTCTAGAAGATCTGCAAGCAGATATGGATTATCCGAGGTTAATCCACAGCCGCATATTGAAGATTTTTTAAAAGTTGATAGATTACTATTCACCAACGATTCACTTGTCGTTGTTGTCGTCGTATGATGTTGATGATAACTTGGTTGATTCGATTTCGACGAATAAACTGATGGAAGTAATTTACTCGAAGATATTAATTCAGATTGATAAATTTTCATTGATGGATGTCCAATAATGTCTGAATATAAGAGGGTATTGAGTACCATTGATGTACGACTCCGCGGATAATCTGAAATTAAAGGTAATACAGAAGAACAGAGATGAATTGGTTGCATTCATTATGAAAAAGAAGCTAAGAAAAGAAAACCAGTAGGTTTGAAATTGAAAAGAGCCATCTCGGTCGAAAGAGCAATTCCAAGAATGTTCTTGGCTGAAGGCGTCTCTATGCCTCATCTTCTCAAAATGTGTATTTACCTGTCTACTTGCTCTCTTGCTTAGGCTGAACTGACATCCGCTCATGAACATCACACTACCAGCACGGTTGTCTATACATATAGGAGAACGCATAACACTCAACAGCTTAATTCTGGAGTACATTATTACACTTCTAGTCATACAACAGCATCAGCGAGAGTTTCACTCACAGTTATAAGTACAGAGTAAGATTAAGTCGTTCAAAAGCATTTCGTTAACATCATTTTCATGCAAGCCATAAAGAAAATCCTGAACGTTGTGTTCCGACCTTTCTTACTACCACGGGTGGCATACATCAACTTGAGCCACCTATGGCACCGTTGTGATGTTAGCCTGACTGTCAAAGTTCAGGTATACAATGCTTCGTTTTCCGTACAGGTCTCTGTTCGCTAGCCAACCCTGGGACGGGATGGAAAAGGCGGAGAGGTGGTCAGTCCATGATGTGGCGTCCTGGGATGAAGGACTTTTGTGCTAGATTAGTATCGGTTAGTGTGTCACGACTCCCTACTTGTTGGGGTCCGTGAGATAGCTCGAATCGATGGCTCGAAACGTTATCGGATGTGGCCAAGAATCGTAATCATCAATGGCGAACGTGTTGAAATTTCCTTCTTTCTTCCCTTCCCGATGATAGTTAACGAATACTGTTTGAACTTGTTAAGCATGACTGTTTTCCTTCTAGATGAAGTTCTTTATCCGTTCTCTGCTTATATTTTTTTCTTTTGATCTATGTTGTTTTATTATTATTATTATTATTATTGTGTAGCGCATCTTTCTTCGTACAATAAATAAAACCACGGCCTTAATGTCAACTGCATATTCTTGATGGATCGTATAATAAACTGGATGTAGCAATTTCGTTATCTTACAATTTCTACGGAGTATACTGGACAGCTGTTTCACCCTAGTTTGGGACTTTTCAGAAGTACGTACCCCTTGAGCGGGTTCAAAAAAAGCGACCTTGGTAGAAGTTGGAATTCATGAGCTATTGGATCAGATCTCAATAGCTGAATGGTTTACAAGCCTAATTTGTAACCTAAAGTTCCTGGGTCCAAACCCTCGGTGGATGCTTACCGCTGAAGAGTCCCAAAATGAGACCGAACAGCTGTGTCTAATACTCCTTGCCGGTTGTCCATGGTTTTCTCGCTAACTAACATCAATATGTGATCGATTTTGAAACAAATAAATAAACGATGGGAACTAACAATTCACACACACACACACACACAACCATATTGTGCCCTTATTTAAAATTTGTAATCCTTGTAAACGAGACATTGACAATGTAAACGAATCAGTTCATTTAATTAGGTAGTGAACAGTTGTCGCATAAATGTCAAGTAGACACACACACACACACACGAAGATACACACAATAAGCGTGGGGAAAAACACCGCACGCGCGAGCACACTTATCCATAATTAATACTTGGTAGTAGTAGTTGCTGTTGTTCTAGTATGACGTAATGTATTACGCAGTTTTTAGGGTAATAAGCTTCCATTATCATATGCGACACAAACAAATTTATGTGAGTGGCAAGATGAGACAGAGAGAAAGTTGAAAAGAGAAAAAAAGGTGAGTTACAAACGTGTAGGATATTCCATGATAAATAATCTTATTGATTTTTATCACAGAGTGTGCAACACAGTTGTTCGAAAATATTAAAAAAAGTAAGAAACACCAAATGATGCCTTTTGTATGGGTGTTTCACTCGACTATGAGTGACAAAACACTTTGTGAAATGACACTGATCAGAATAGATTTCTAGGTGGTTTTAACAAGGCTATACTCGACTGTCGGTGACACAGCAGTTAGGACGCTCGCTGACCATGCACATGGTCCGGGGTTCAATCCCCGGCCACAGACGCATTCCTTTACCTCGTTAAGCCAGAAATAATGCTGGTAAAGAGGAAAGGTTGGGCATGAGGCTAACAACCCCATCCTGTAAAATTAAACACTCCTACAGAATCTTCAAGCCACTAGCTTGAAGCCCTATGTTCCACTGGGGAACGTGAAGGAAAAAAAGATACTCGACAGATCACGCAAACTTGATTACTTACAGGTAAAAACCAAAAAACTGGTTGAAGAGATAGCTAAGACAGGGATGATGAAGATAAACAACAAACCACAGCAACAATAACAACAACCAACACCAATCACCATCAACAGGAAAGATTTAACAGAGGTTACCTCCTTCCCTTATCTAGGCGGCCAGCATCGTTTCAACTACAGGCGGACGGAACTGACGAGGATATCAAAGCAGCGAGGATCGGGAAAGCAAGGCAAGCTTTCATTACTCTCAAGTCTGTGTGGAGGTCAACAGCACTCAGAATCAAAAATAAGATTAGGATTTTCAACTCCAATGTGAAATCAGTCAGTGCTACTATAGGGATCAGAGACTTGACCAGCGCGTCATAAAGAGCATCTCAAACAAACTACAGACCTTCATCAACAGCTGTCTTCGCCCAACACTACTCAAGATCGGATGACCAGCCAGAAAAGATCAGCAACAAGGAGGGATCTCTGGCAATGAGCGAACCAATCCAGCAGGAACCGATTGTGAAACAAATAGGCAGGAAGAAATGGAGTTGGATTGGCCATACGCTGAGGAAACCATTAAGTGACATCACTAGACAAGCCCTCGAGTGGAACCCGAACGGGAAGCGACGAGTTGGTTGTCAGTACGAGGGTGACATGGAGGAAGTCATGTGAAGAGGAAATGAAAGCATTTGGGCAGTCTTGGAGCCAGTTGAAAAGGTTGGCAGAGAACCGAACGCAATGGAGACGTGCAGCTGAAGCCCTATGTTCCTCTAGGAACTAAAGCAAATAACACCTGGCTGTCTGACTCTTCTGTCAAATTGGTTTTCGCTTTAGTATACCATCACAAATAAGCGGAAGACATGATGAGAAAACTGTACTGTAACCCCCACACCCTTGTACATCTTTCTGTCCTCAGTATAACAACTACGCACTCCCCCCCCCCGTATAAAATTCATATTTTCGAACATTTTATTCAGATGGGACCAGAGGAGGGTATCTGTGATTCAACATACCATAATACTGATAAAAGGATACACAATATGTACGGAGATGACAATTAATTTGTATTCTAATTCGAAAAGCCAAAGTTATGTAACATTCGATGTACTTCCTCATCCGAAAACAGACCCAAAATGTAGATATGGCGACACTGGTCTGAACATTCCCTTTTCAACCAGTGGGTACCACATTCGACACCTGTTGCCCCTTCACCACCTTCAGCCTTAATATCTCGGTGGGGCAAATACCACCGGTCCCCAACCAATAAGTGTGTATGAGACTAAGTTTAAACAAACACCTATAAATCGTACATTAAAAGTGCCCTAATAATAGAAATTCCCATGGAGAGAAAAAAAGATAATTAAAATAAAATTACACACACTCCTACCTTTACGTAGAGAAGCGATGAAATTAATCAGCATGCCATCTGTCAATCCATAATGTTCACTATCCCTACACAAATGACTAACAATGAAATGTAACAACTCGGTGCCAATTTCATGTAAACTGCCTGATGTACTGCTGGTGGTGGCAGCGGCAGCATCTGGTAGTGATGATTTTGAAACACCAACATTAGCAGCATTGGTTGACGACGACTGATAATTATCGATAGTCTGTTGAGAAGTTTTCAATGAACTGCCAGCACCAGCGCCACTGTTATTTCCTGTTTGAACTAAAAAAAGAAAATAAAATTCAAGGGAAAGTCAACGTTATGCATAGATATGTCTGTCTGTCTTCGACATAGAACTTTGCACATATATGCGGCAGTTCAAGTCGCCACACTTCATGTACCACACAAAGCAAGAGAAGAAAGGCATAATAGAGACAGTAGACAGGGATATCAGACAAAGGAGTAGTAATAACGAAGAACAATATAGTTTCATTGCTATTATAAGTCACAAGGAGTGGATGCATCTGAGCCAGCCATTGAGAACGAGGATTTTGAGCCATATCACCAATCGTCTCCAGTCATTGCTGTTTACCTTCCCGAGAACCCCAACCAGTCAGGCAGTTTACACCTTCCTACGTGGCTTATACTAACTGTTGTAGATTTCATTGACTGGTGAGGCCATGTTTTGGTTTGATCGCCGCTAGCTCTTTTCCAGCCTGACCCTATGTCTGTCAGCTAACATTGCCCATTATCGAGGAAGGCGATGACTAGGCTAGCATGCGTAATACATGTCCTAACCATCTCAGTCGATGTAATTTCACACCCTCGTCGATTCAATTCCCCTTTTTCCTAGCACTCCACTAAAGCCTAACCTCAGTATTGCTCACCTTATTATACCACTTCACACGGGAGATAGAGCGCAGGCACCTATGATCAAAGACAGCTAATCTTTTCATGTCACGCCAGAGACGGCGTAAACTGGCATATGCGAAACTAGCCCTCGGTATCCGTGCTGAGATTTCGTCAGAGATCAATCCGTTGGTGCTGGCTGATGGTAGTTCCCAAATAAGTGAAGCGGTCAACGTGCTCTACCACTTCACTTGCTATTTCTAATCTAGAAGTCGGTGTAGTCCAGTCCTGCATCATCATCTCACATCTGGCGGGAGCGAATCGCACGCCAAACATTCGCAGGTTGCAGCTCAAGGCACCAGTCAAATGATGAATAACCATTTTTAAAAGATCTGGGATGACAGCAACACTGATAGTAAGAATTATCAGCATATGGTAGTTCTAGGAGCGTCATAGGTTCCAACACAGCACTCCAACTACTGTGGTTTGAGCAACCAGATAGTGTAAGTATCATACACTATAGGTATATAACTCATCGTTAACTCATTGAGTTTCAACCAACATAGAGCTTTCCACAGACGTGTAGCAGTTCAAAAAAAATAATGATAATAAGCACGCATGTGAGGGATAAAAAAATAACAATATGGAAAAACATGACGGTATAATGAATATGGAAGACGATAAAGGGTGAATACACCTCTACCTCTGCTACTCACAATGATCTTGTGCATCCCGACGACCCCAGCAGGAAGGCCTACATGCCCCCCCCACGTAACTTAAACTGACTTGTCAAAGATTTCGTCGACTGACTGATACCAAGTTTTGGTTTGACCACTGATAGTTCTTTTCCAACTTGATCCTATGTCAGCAGCTAACACTGATCGTCAAATACGGCAATGACTAGTCATGAGGCTACTTCATTCACTTATCTAGCATTGAGCATTGTCTCAACTACACGCAGTCGGAACGGACGAGGATGTCAAATCGAGCGAGAATCGGGAAGGCGAGAGACAAACACATTCATCAACCAACTGAAACCAATCTGGAAATTTTCGTCACTCAGCCATCATTAACAACAAAATTCGGTGGGATTTTCAATACAAACGAAAGTCAAGTCAGTCAGTTCTTCTATACGGATCAGAAACTTGGCGGGCGGAATATTTCCAACAGGCTGACTCAGACCTTTATCAACTAACATCTGTCTTCGCTAGATCTATTACTGAAGATCAGATGGCCGGGCCGGAAAGGATCACCAACAACAAGAAACTATGGAAAAAAAACAACAAGAACCAATCGCCCAACAAATATGCAAGAGAAAGTGGAGATGGACTGGACACTCGTCGAGGAGGCCGGTTGGTGACACCGCGCGCACCTCAGGCCATGGCTCGAATGGAACCAGGCCGAAAGGGAAGCACGCGGCGAGTGGGACGTCAGTGCAAGGGTGACATGGAGGAGATCGTGTGAAGAGGAGTTGAGACAGTATGGACTAACATGGATGTGGGTGAAAAGTACAGCAGAAGGAAGACAGAAGTGGCAAGTGGAGACGTGCAGTTGTAAAGCCCTATGTTCCACTAGGAACCCAAGGGAACAATAATAATAATAATAAATTAGAGATTATTGTAAGCAAACAAACACAGTCTTCTGATTGGTGGTTTCTCGCTGAACGTTAATCTTTTATCTATTTGTGGCTGTTTCCCGAAGTTCAGATTACCTATCTGCAAGTTGTATCCACCTATGCAAAGTCTGCTGTCATTGGTTGTTGAGTCAGTTTTTATTCTTATTTTTCTCGCGACCAATATTGGGGATGTACACATTGACGTAAATTGCTATCTACCAATTTTGGTTAGCAGCCAGCTCTCATCACAGATTTACCTTCACAACCGTATTCAATGACTTCTTACCTGTCTTATCTAACAACACTCGATGCTTAAGCTCAAAACTCACCACCTAGCACGGATACAGAAGATCACATTACAGACGAAAATTGCGTAGGTATTATCTTGATATACTATCAGAAACATCTTTCTTACACTATATTCTTATTTTTACAGAAATAATAATACTTGCAATGTAATAACTTACCATCATCAACTGCTAGATGAGCAGTCACCAATTCTGATAGTTTTTGACGAACCCAGTGTTTTGCACGTTCACTGAGTTGTGCATCAGTTGAATACGTTAATGAAAGACCAAGAATCACTTCTTGTAGACGACTAAATGTTGAAATTGAAGTGATTTGTGAAAATAATCTTGTAGATGATCCATCATTCTGTAATTGTGTAAAGTGGAAATGCAAAACATAAACCAATAAAATAAAAGGGTTGTTAGAAAGTGAAACAGCTAAACCGTTTAAGAGTTTAAACTAATATACATACATCATAAATAATTAACAGTTTCATTCTTGCTGAACAATCTCCATCGTATCGATGACTCTAATCAGGAAGTTTCCATTTTGCTGCCTAGTTTTTATGGGCTTTGTTTCTCCTGAACACCTCTTAGTCTACACACAAGATTATGGAATCTAGAAGTTTAAATTCTGTTGTGAAAACTACCAAAGAAGGGTGACTTATACCTCTCTCTCTCTCGCGCGCGCGCTTCATGAACTGGCGTGGAATCATGCTCTTGTCCACCCACGCCAAGTAAAATACTAAGTCGCGTTATCCTGGAGAGAATAAAAGATGCACTGGATGCAGAACTCTGCCTACGGGAACAGACTGGATTTAAAAAAGGCAAATCATGAGCAGATCAAATAGCAACTCTACGCATCATCATAGGACAAAGTCTGGAATGGCAGTCAAATCTCTACTTTAACAACTTCATCGATTTTGAAAAGGCCTTCAAAAGCGTTGACCTGGAAGTAATTTGGAAACTCCTTTAACACTTTGGTGTGCAGTGCCCAAGTCTTTATCAACCTCGTTCAACAGCTAGCTATATGACAACGCCTGCCAGGTGTCAGGTGGTCCACAAAGGAAAACTCAACGAGGCATTCGGAGACTGCTCGCTACTATCATCGATGATATCCCTAATAATGGTGGACTGGATTATGCGTCAGACCGTCGGTAGCAAGAAGACAGGAATACGCTGGACGCTGATAAGAAAACTCTAGAGGATCTGGATTTCACGAATGATTTATGTTGAATGTCACACACAAACTAGAAGACTTGCAAGCGAAAACCAACAAAATAGCTGGAGAAATACACAGCGAAGGTGTGACTTGGAGTGAACACAGAGAGAAGACGGAGGTGATGGAGATAACCCTCCAACCACAGCAACAACAACAACAACAACTAGCACCAATCACCAGCAACGGGAGAAATTTGAAGGAGGTTACTTTCTTCACTTTTCTAGGCAATCAGCATTATTTCAACCAAGGGTGGAACAGATGAAGATGTCAAAGCCAGTCAGAATCGAAAAGACCAACCTTCATCACCATGAAATCAGTTTGGAAATCTTTTCCACTCCGCAGTATAAACAAGATCCAGATTTTCAGCACAAATGCCAAGTCAGTCAGTTCTTTTTTATGGATCAAAAACTTGTACTGTATGCCCGTGTCACTAGAACTATTTCCAACAGGCTCCTGTAGACTTTTATGAACAGCTGTCTTCTTCGCTGACCCCCCCCCCCATATTGAAGGTCGAACGACCACAAGGAATTGGCAACAAACCAACCAGAAACCTTTTGCTCAACGAATGTATGTAGTAGGAAATGGTGGTGGATTGGTCACACGCTGAGGAGACCGTCAAATGACATCGCGTGCCAGTTCACATCTTGAGTGGAAGGAAGGTGAATAAGAAACAACGAGTAGGGTTGGGATCTGACGGTGACATAGACGAGATTAGAGACTATGAGCAACCATGGGACCAGGCTAAAGACGACTACAGAGAGTAGGACAAATTGGAGACTACGGCTAGAGTGAATGGTGACTCCATGACTAGAAGTGGAGTGCTCTAAGAAGCCAATGAATGAGGCACACATCTCCATAACAATATGAAGATCACATCACAGATGATCTTCATTTCTCTTTTTTTTTAACGTAAAAATCAGTGTGCGTGTGACTGATCAGACATAAGTACCGCGCATGTTTACGTCAAAACCCTCTTCATGACCTTAAGCATATTATTATATATGTGCGTGCTGATACCTAGCTGATATAAAACGAAAATTTAAGGTGAACTATTTTATGGTTTACTTCGAGATTTATCGATTTTTATTAAGTATATATATAAACTTATATATATACAAACTTGCATTTGCAAATTTACTTTAAAGATTCGCTATTGTATACACAGAGACTGAGGCTCATATTCGAAGAGAGAAAGCGAGAGAGAAAGGAGGGAGTGTCATATAAAATTGGCTTTACGTACTAAGTACATTTTTAGAGAGAACAAGCTTATCTTACGCATTGTCGATTATTGGAACACAATTACATTATTTTGATTTGACACTAGTAACTAGTATGATGTGTCTAGTCCTCTGATTGGTGTAGACTGAATTCTATCAGTCAGGTTGTAATGTGACCACCATTCTAGGTAGCTCGCCATCACGGTGCACATTGATTTGATGGTATTAGATGGTTGGAGGCAATCAGCCACAGGAAGTCTTGCTGACGAGTGCCAACTAGCACGAAACCTAGGTCCAAGGCTTCCTGTGGCCAATTGCCTCCAACTGTCTACTATCAGAATTCATTTGAACAAGCCATATTTGTGTGTTTCAAAGCAATTTAGGCAACCCTTTTTCATTGACTTGGCCAATTACATAAAATGTATTAAGTTTTTAAGAAAACGAGTCTTCACACCCCCACCCCCGCAACACATACACGCTTCAGCAGGAAATTAAAGCTTGCTGGCAATTATAGCAAATATATAATCGAATGCAGTGGAGATGCAACACCGAAGAAGTCCTATATTATACTCGGGACGCAATTAATGAATAATAGCCAGGTCTCAGAATTTTAACATGAGCTGAAATCGGTTAGAGGATAGTTGGAAAACCAGCTGCGAGTACTGCCAGACAGCTGTTTTGTCAGCCTAGTTTGAGACTCTGCAGCAGTACGAACCCACCACTTTCCGGTTACGAGGCGAGGCTGTAGAACATTCCACGCCACCGGGACTTGATCCAATGGCCAGTCCATGAATTCCAACTTGTGCTAATTCACGATGTAGTGCTACTACTAGCCAATGTCATCGGTGGCGAGTATTGGTCCTGGCACTCGACCTGCTGCACCCTACTAGTCACAACTTCCCACCAGCACCTCAGGTAACTATGTACTTCCAATGGTTCACTAACTGATGTCAGCTCATTATGAAATCCTGTAACCAATCAAATTCCTACAAACCAACACATTTGAATAGCAGCGTCAACTGTAGATTTATGGCATTCGAGGGAGTTCACTCGTCATCCTTATATACATATATGCGTACATAATTTACAGCTAACTTTACTGACAAGTTGTCGACACCAGAATAATCCGAAAAAAATAAAAAATAAAGCTTACCTTATGCGTTGGTAGAGGTTTTTCTATAGCATAACAGATAACTGATACAAAATTTGATTTTGTCAGCAACTTGTTCAACTCTTGACTTAAATACTGGATCTGATAAAAATCTTTTTGAGATTTTGTTTCATTAGAACAATCGATTGAAGAAAATAAACATCGTGTAAAATGGCGTTCTGCTTCTGCGGTGTTAAGTTGAATAATCTAAGGCGAAAAATTAAAATATTTTTGAAAATAATCTGGGACGACTTTTCAGGAATGAGACATTCAACTAAAAATATGCTGAAAACAAACTTTAATCAGTTAAAGGGAAAATTTAGCTACTACTCTAATCTTTAATGGTATCGTGAAAGCCAGTACAGCATAGGATGACTCAATAAACTTCTAGTGTCATCGCAACTTTAGTATGGTTATCAGTTGTCCGGTTTACGATGCTTCCGTGCACACAGTCTGGCTATACGTCTGTAATCTGTTAGCATACGTTTGTACCATCCTGTAAGTAATCTTGAGACCCGATGGCAAGTCTTTCTTGGCACAGTTGAGATAGTCTCTGAATAAATGCCATCATTGGGACACTAGTTTCGACGACTTCAACAAGCGCTACAAATGCCATCCTAGCGGCTAGCCCTCCTCGACCTGGGTGGAGGAAGTAAACGGGTAGTCAGTCCATGACGTGGTACCGTGAGATGTACGATAGTTGCACTAGGTTAGCACTTGTCAGTGCATTAAGACTAGCTGGGTGGGATAAAACAGATAGCTCAAATCAGTAGACAATATTAGATACAGTTGAGAATCGTCACCAGTGCCGGGCACACTGCAACCTTCTCATCCCCTCTCATTCGAAAGGAATATGAAGTTGTATACGCTGCTTTTGGTGTTTTTAATAAATATGCCCGCCTGTTTCCACGATCCCCCCTACTTTTCAATATGTTGTGTTACATTGTTCTTGAGTGGCACATCTTTCGACTAAATATAAATAAAGTCAACGTAGAATGAGTTGATTTAGCCTCTTGTGAACGGTTATCATACGTGGGTGTCTGTAAACTAGGCCTTGTGAAGTTATCCAAAATAGTCACAAATCAGTGCAATTCCTCTATACTTCTCGAAGTCATACAGAAACATGAAAACCAATGACAAATAAATGTACAGCTATCAGATAGCTGGGGGCAGTCATCAGCAAGGCATATCTGCAACCTCCCTCTTGAAATTCAAACGTGTCACCCTGTGTTGCAGCCAAAGACATTATCACTGAGTTCTTTAAAGACTACAGATACGCCTTGCTGATTAGTGAGTGCCAACAAGTAAGGCTTCCTGTAAATTGCCTTCAACCATCCGATAATAACAATTCAGTGTACCGTGATGGCGAAGCATCTAGAATAGTGGCCACATTGCAAACTTGACTGGTAGAATTTAGTTTCCACGACCGGATGCACGACACTAGTTACTATCAAGTATCAAATCAAAATACAAGGCTAAACAGTTCCAGGATTTAAAATCCTAGAATAACACCTGTAGATCTTCTGAAGAAAATGAACAATTCACACATGGTTGTTTTCCACACTTTCAGTTAACACTTTTCGTTACATCATATACTCATAGATAAAACCAGGCACTGAAGAATAAATATACTGTTTGAGTACGATTCACTTAGACCTCCATTGAATGGTAATCAATGAAACATATATAAAAAGACATCCTTCAATTAGAAGTTTATCCATACGGAATCAACTCATCTCTTATAGATACCACAACACTGAATTTGATACTTATGATTGACTAACGATATAAGACTTGATGCTAAACCATCCAAGCATATGAAGAATGAGTAAGTGAACTAGAATTTAGACAAATTACTTCCAATGGCATTTCAGTAGCAGTTTGGCAGCATCTACATACATCAGTCTTTAAGATTCCGTTAGATATGCAGCAGCATATAGATAGGTACTAGAGTACACTGTCTGTCTGTTTTCGACATAGAACTTTGCACTGATGTGGGACATTTCGAGTCGCCACACTCCACGTAGCACACAAAGCAACAGAAGAAATGCTAGTAGAGACAGGAAACAGAGGTGTGAGACAAAGGAATAGTAATAACGAAGAACAGTATATTTTCATTGGAAATCATAAGTTACAAGGAGTGGATGCATCTGAGTCAGCCAGTGAGAACGACTTTGAGCCATATCACCATTTGTTTCCAACCACTGGTTTTTACCGTCCCGAGGACTCCAACCAATGAGGAAGTCTACACCTTCCTACGTGGCTTAAACTAACTGTACACTTCTTGACTTGAGTTTACATTTTATTTGCACGGAAGGGTAGTTTACAGTCTTGTATGTAGGACGGTGTCTCACTAGTCTGAGTATTATACCTATAGGTTCGAATCCTCTGTTGTTTATCGAAGTTGAAACATTCAGACAATATCATAAAGCCAATAAATAATAAACGTAACTTATTGTCGAGTGCATTAACATGCAAGTGGTTGACAAGTAACATTTCGTTCCACTTCAGCGAGAAACTATTCGCGAAGAGAGGCAGGCGATTACCATTTCAAAAACTAATGCAACATATAACCATACATCAAGGGAGAAGCTACACAATGTTGAGAGGAAAAATCCTACCCGATTACTCAACTCAGCATATAAAGTCAAATTCACCGACGTAATACATACAATGGTTGGAGTGAATATCTAAATAACTGGTCTGCAGAGACTACAAATTGATTGATATCTATTTAAACACATTGGACGATATGGGCAAAAAGAAAAGCGCTACATCTGATTGTCGTTTCGTGGTTGTTTGCTAATTACCCCGTGGCCATACGCTGCGGAAACCATCAAGTGACATCACTAGACTAGCCCTCGAGTGGAACCCGAAAGGGAAGAGGCGAGTTGGTTGTCAGTGCAAGGGTGACTTGGAGGAGGTCATGTGAGGAGGAGATGAAAGCATGTGGGGAAACTTGGAGTGGGGTGAAAAAGTTGGCAGAAAACCGAAGGCAATGGAGACGTGAGGCTGAAGCCCTATGTTCCTCTAGGAATTAAAGGATATAATAATATAATTATAATAAACCCATGATAGGTACAAACACTCACAAGACCACAAAGCATTTCGAGGTCTACGCACCCTTGGACTAGTTTTACAGTCAAAGAAAAACCTATTGATCGTCAAGGATCTGAAGATTAGACCTACTGAATCAGACGTTATTGAAGGTGAACACGCTCGGTAAACATAATTTAATAGGTTACTTTTGTAACCTTGAGTGAAATGTTGGAAACAAGCTGAATTCTGTCAAGTGCTTAATTTTCACAGTTCAGACGGCCTATCCTGATGTGCGATGGCCTTTTAGCTCTTCTTCAGAGTCTTTTGATGATTCGTCATAATGTTCTTAAACGGATGGGTTGAAATTGTCTTCCATCACATAATCCTGATTCTATAACTTCAACAGCCCATCAGAAACTTTGATAACTTTATATTCGAGGATCTGCTAATGCTCACTTGCTAATGAGGTGACTTTTGCTGTAAACTCATTACACTAGAAGCCTAGCTTTTGTGCTCACAGTTTTCTAATTATAATTTGGATTGCAATATGTTCACTGATCATGATTTTAGAGCTCTGTATAATGAAGACAGTTTAAGTAATGATTTCTATCTTATAAGAAATTAAACCTCGGAGGATATAACTAGGTGTTTATCCAACATAAACTGAAAGTATAAGGCTTTCACAGTTTGTACAGGTGTGAAAATAAAAGGCAGAGTGGTTGAACTCTGGGTTGAGTTGTCTATCTGTCTGTTTTGAGCCGATGTGCAGCAGTTCAAGTCGCCACACTCCCTCCATGTACCACACCTTCGTTTCACCTTTCACAATGATAATAAAGTTTTGAAGGTGCCTTAGTTTCCTTAGCTCCAGTCATCCTTCTTATTTACCCATAACTCTCTCTTGCTTTGACAGCTCTCCATTTAGCGCAATAGAAATGTTATTTTGAGTTTCTGGAAGTTAAGATGGCCTTACAACGATGTACATTCCCGAACTGCTTTGGGTCAGACTACTTTATTAGTCCCAGCTATATTTTTATGATGATCATTTAAGAATTGCGCAGATGATAACATATTCAATAACTTCTTAAAGTGACAACTTACACACGTCACCAACCAGAAGTTTTTTCCCGCTGGAGGACTTTGTGGATTTACTACAGCACACACTATTTTCCTAGCACTTTATAAGTGGAATCGAAGCTGTTTCTATAATAATACAAGTCAAAAAGTAATGGATATGCTAACCGACTGACAACTACCAGAACTTTGTCAGCGAGTAAGTCCAAGGATGAACATAACGATACACAACTGCCAAAAGTGTTAGCACTGGCTATTTGGCTCACCACTCTTATTACGGAAAACTAAGCAGTCCATGTGATAGAGTACAGCCACTGCAATACAAACTCTGTAGCGGTAATCTTGCTGATAGTCAACACTAGATATAGGTTTACGTCTTCATTTGTAATAAGAGACGAACAGGCGAATAAATATCTACTTTTCAATCAGATCCTCACTGTTTGTCTGTCTGGATTCAACATAGAACTTGGCACCGAAGTGCAGCAGTTCGAGTTGCCACCTTCCAAATAGCACACAGAGGTAGACAAGAAGATGAGTGAAGAGAATTAATAGTTTGACAAGTATAAGAGTGAAACAGAATGGGTAATGGTAGAAAGGTTTGTCTTCTAAATGTCTAAATGGGGAGCCCTATCATATGCTCACTTACATGTATAATATATTATTCGACAATTCTGGGTTCACTGCATTCGGAAATGAAATTGGCTACTCAGAACTGTTCGCAACTTTATTTGCAAAAACTGTACTTATTAAAGCTAGTCTGCAGCATAAAATTAGTTTTAAATTTCCACTGAATAAACGTTTAAAGAAAGCTATGACTAAGGAACTCACAATAGCAATAAGAAATGTGGGCTAGTATAACAGACAAACGTATTAAACATGCATAAGTTGTGAGTATTTATGTAAATATATACACAAAACTGAATTGAAATGACAAACTAAATCTGTAAAAGACAATTTCTTGCTCTCAAAACAAGCGAACTCACTTGACTGATTTCAGAATGGTTAGTTTTGTGGTTCTTTTTGTTCCGAAAACAAACTAAAGACTCTATTTGAGAAAATACAGTACATATCAAGCTAGGGGGCAACATAGCTCAACACGAGCATATTCGAAACTGTCAACCCGCGAGTGTCACTGTCCAATGTAAGGACTTAGGTGTAGATTAGTAGTATCGCAAGGCCGCGAAAATTCGACTGTGGCGGCATACTTAAGTCAAATGTAGGGTGATTTTAGTGGTTACTGAGGCATCCTCTTCACCATGTTTTTCCAAGCTAATCTTCATATTTGAGATAGCTTAACATATGATACTGAGACTCTCTTCAGATTCAGATTTATTGGTTGAGGATAGAAGGCTTGGAGCCTATGTTAATCCTTTTCTAGTAAATTTCTGCGGTTGTCCCAACCCTTCTTGAAGGAATCAGTTGAGGTTGCAGACACCACTTTTTCTGGGAGTCAGTTCCAAGACTTTATGACTCGGTGTGAGAACCCGTACTCAACAGCAATATGATTTCTCCTTGGCTTTTGAACTCTCCTGCTATGTCCTCTAAGGTGTTCCGACCCGGTGGGAAGGAAAAAAGAGAATAGGTCAGGTCCGTAGTCATTATTTAAAATTTTAAACATTGTGATTAAATCTCCTCTCTGCCTGCGGTATGACAGTGAGAAGAGATTTAAACTGTCTAGTCTTTCCTCGTATGATAAGTTAGTCATGCCGTGAACCATACGTGTTGCCTTCCTGTGAACCCTTTCTAAAATGTATGAGTCCCCTTTTAGACAAGGACTGGCGGCCTGGATGCAATTTTTCAGTCTTGATGTCATCAGAGACGTATATAAGGGGGTGAACATATCTCCGGTGAATCTAGTGAAGGCTCTGCGAATTGCCCATAAGGACCTGAAACTGCGTGCAGCCACCGCGCGACAGTGTGCTGTAGTTTTCAAGTCGTGGCTAACTATGACACCTAAGTCCAAGTGAGTGTGAACTGATGGAAGTGTTATTCCCTCTAGTTCGCAGGAGCTCGTGCTTGCTTGGCCAATGCGCATGGTTACACATTTTGCCAAATTTATCGGGAGAATCCATTCTATGGACCACTTTGACAATTTTATCGAGGTCCTCTTGCAACGTAGACGTGTCACTGTTGCCCTTCAGCTCTCTCCAAATTTTCAAGTCATCTGCGTATAGGACCACAGGTGAGTCGGTGAAGAGAGATAACTCATTGATATACAAAATAAACAGGAGCGGTCTGAGTACCGTGCTCTGTGGCACTCCACCACGCACTCCTGTCCGGGAGGAGAGTTTCGAGTTGATCCTAGCCATCTGCCCCCTATCTTTGAGGAATTTCCTGATCCAGTTTAGTAATCTGACTTTGATACCACGACTTTCCAACTTCATGACTAGTCTTTTGTGAGGTACTTCATTAAGTGCTTTTCTGAAGTCTGTGAAGACGACGTCAACGGGTCTTCTGTTGCCCCTTGATTTGACCCAGGTTTCTCTTGCAGTGAGGCAATTTGACAGGCATGAGACGTTTCATCGGAAGCCATGCTGTGCTCTAGATAGCAAGCTGCTATTTTCCAGATATGCCATCATGCTTTTCTTAATGATTCTTTCCAGTGTCTTGATTAAAGTACCGGTGAGACTGATAGGCCTGTAGTTTGAAGGGCTTTGTCTTGATCCTCCTTTGTGGATGGGGGTTACTATGGCGTCTTTCCAGTCACCCGGTAACACTCCATTTAGGAGAGATAGTTTGAAGATCGTGGTCAAGGGGCCGGCTATGTGGGCTGGTCGCTCCTGGAGAAGCCTTGGATGAAGATTATCAGGATCCATTGATTTCCCTGCATCTACTTTCACTGAGCAGTTGAGCACGATGCCTTGGTCGATGTGAGGAATCTTGGTAGGGAATACATCATCCTTCAAACCAAGTAGTGGAAGGCTAAAGACATTCTTTATTGTTCCTCGAAATACACATATTCCTACTACCGTGTCAGCTATAACTATCCATATCCACAAAACAATCACCAAAACGATTGACTTCCCATCATGTGAGATGGTGAGCCATTTTACAATTAAAGTAAACACAAAAACTGAGACAGGTACGATTTAAGCATTGATCACACTTTTAAAAGATAAAGCATCAACGTCTTCCTGAACTTACGAAGAGCAGACCGCGTCAAAATCTGCCATTTGAACTAACATTAAGTCAACATTGCCAAGTCTGTAAAAGAAACATTAATATTAGTTTTCTGGTGAAAGTCTGAAGTTTGACCATTTTAACTCTCCCGTAGGTGGATTGAGAAGGCATCCAACCTCAGCAATAGTTCGCTGCAGTAATACCTGCAGTTTGCATGACGAATGAGTTGACTAAGGTAGTTTAACAGACTCGGAAAACCCTAATGTTATAGTCATTACAGGCCCGTGTTTAGTATCTGAAATCAAAGACAAAATATTATACCTACAGACTTCATTGAGAATCGAGTATACCATTTAAATTACAGAGGAAGTGGAGTGGTAGTCTACCTTAAGAACACCCTACATACTAAAATACAAGGGACAACGCACAGATTTTGTCATAGTAAATGCTGGTTACGATAATGATAAAAATAATATATTCTCTCTTTATATACATGAGGGACACCATTTCACAGGCATCATCAATATTATAAGTAATGGAAAGCTTACATTAGTCTTCATCAACCATATCATCAGCTCTGACCGTGTCATAAGCAGACGGCATCGACCGCTTTAACATCAACCAAAGCACTGGATTCCCAATTCCCAAACAAGGCAGGCACAAGGAAATCAGTTGAACCTGATGGACTGCTCCCGTGGTTTCTGAAACACCTTGCAACTCACCCATCGATTGCTTTTCTTCAGCCGTCCCACCACATATTGATAAGAATGCAGTACTAATCCCCATCTACAACTTAGTGTCTAGGCCCTGTCATTCAAGCTACCAACATATTAGCCTTAACATTACCTGTGCATCGGTAGCATAGGAATTAGGACGCTCGCCGACCATGCACATGGTCCGGGGTTCGATCCCCCGGCCGACGTACACCTGATATCAATAGTCGGCCTGCTAAATTTAGGCTGCCGATATAAAACACCGAAAATTCCATAGTCGTACGAGAATACGGCGTGGAATCAAGCTATAATGAAATTTAAAATTTAATATTGGGGGAGATAATGGTATCACTAATCATATGTGATGGTGTGGCACACTTCCTATCTAGCCTGCAGCGTTGTTTCCGGAAGAACTTGAAACTGCGGAAATTTGTCAAAGTAGAGAATGCTTGAAATCCAGGAACAAAAGGAAAACTCGACATCGTTTTCATGAGTTTCAGCAGGGGATTTCATGAAATTCTACGGAATCTCTACTGAAAACATGGCGCGCTATAAAACCCAGGGTTACTGAGTTTGAATGTAGGGATTACGGAAAACTTGAAGAGTAAGAAAATAGGAACCACAACTTCCTTGTGATTCTTACGCTTGCCGTTCTCAGTTGAGTGGTAGCAAACAACTAGTTTCCATCCGTGGGCCTGACCAGGTTTCCCCACTTCAATCGCCCACCAGAATGCTTGCAAGATACAAGTTCAATAACACCTGCCGTCTTCTTGTTTTATACGTCACCATCACCTTAATCAAGACACTAGAAAGAATCATCAAAAGATCTATCGTGGAATATCCGGAAAACAACAATTCGTTATCCAGAACATACCGAGGGAACCTCTCATGGCTGCCGAATCTTCTCCCTAATAGAGAAGGCCTGGGCAGGTCAAGCGATAACAGAAGATCCATCGACATCATCTTCATAGACTTTTGCAAAGCCTTCGATAAAGTGCCTCACAAAAGACTGCTCATTAAGTTTGGAAGTTTTGAGGTGGTTGTGTTCTCTGAGCTGGATGGTTGATTTGCGGAGCTTTCATCGCCCTACCAGGCAAAATCTCCAGCGCATACTTCAATCTGTTGAAGTGAGCTTTAAAATTTCTCCACGAGTTTATTAATCATCTCCTCTGGTGATCTTGGACATGGCTGGTTGTTTTTATGTGTTTTCACACCTTCTAGGTTACTTGTATTGGAACTGATAGTTTCTTTGACTTGAACTTTGACCCTTTGTGTGTGAGGTTTCTTTCTTATCGGTTGATGAATTTGCCTATCTCTATGTGTCTGTTGATTGATGATTTACTGGAATGCCAAGCTTCTAAAAGTTATCTAGCAATCTTGTTGTTTCCTCTGTCTAATAATTGAACGTTGTCCCAGTCGAATTGATGTCCGCGGTTGTCTGCATATAGGGATATGAGGGAGTGATATCCACTGACAGTGCTCAATGGAAACTAGGTTGTGATTCTTAAGTGTTTAACTGTCTACAGTGGTAGATTTAGTTGTTGATCTGGAGGAGGAAAGAGACTAGTTAACTTAGAGCAGAAAACAGGAGTTAGCTCAAAACGTCTTTCCCAGAGTGGTTCTATTTTCATTCCGTTGTAACGCCTAGCGTAGTTGAGACTACATTTAAACCAAGTGTCAATGTATTTGAAGATTGAACGATCAATTCATGGTTGTTTGCTCAAACCCGACTTCCCCAATTTTCGAGGGGGTATCAATACGACAGTCATCGTCTCATCGGTCGCTTTTCAGAAAGAACTCAGGAGAAAACTGTCAGAAGTGATATTGTGATTTATTATTGTAATATTTGTTCATAGACCTTAGTTGTACATTTTTTATGTGTCGGTGTAACAATAAAGAATTCTCGAGTAACCACACTCGGTTCTGGTATTTGCGTCCGTTATTACTAAGCGTTTCTGAGAAGCCTCGAGGAACAGGATGAGTCCCAGCATAGCAAGAGCTGGGCATTGACGGTTTACGAGACGTGGCTGACACCAAGAGTTCTTAGAGTAAATTGCCTTTGCAGTTCGTCTAATTTAAGCTTGTCATTCTGTTGGAGTCCACTCAAGATAAATGCTCAGATTGTAAAACTGATCGAACCCAAACCTTTTATAATAAAAGCATTGTTTCACAGAAAAAGAAATTGTGACTTATGCATCCTAGGATCCTAAGTGTTTTGTGTCCAGTATGGCCAGCTTATTTATAGAGCGCCAAAT